TCTATCGTGACCTCTTGGCTTAGTGTCGCTTGGGCTTCTTGGGTGAGGGTGGGCAGTGTTGCGTCTTTTAGAAATGTTTCTATGCGTGCGGGCAATGTTGGCCTGGTGTCTTGGGGTCGGTGGTCATGGTTATAAAGGTCTGTGTAATAGTCCTGGAAGATTTTGCCTATGCTATCTGGACAGTCAGTCATAGTGCCAGTGTTTGTGCGTATTAATGTAATTCGTTTGGCCTCGGTGCGTTTTTTGAGTCTGCGTGCGAGCATGGTGTCGGCTTTGTTTCCCTTTTCGTAATATTTTTGTTTAAGCCACATCAGAGCTTTGGTTGTGTCTGCTTGGGTGAGGGTTTTAAGGAGGTTTCTAGCTGTGGTAAGGTTGGCCAGGGTGGTCGGGTTGGGATCCTTTTTGTGATCTGTCTCTAGACGACGGAGTTCCGTCATTGTCTCAAGTATTTGTCGTTGAGCCTGTTTTTTTTTGTGAGAGGCTAGGTTGATGAATGTGCCTCTGATTACTGCTTTATGAGCAGCCCATAGGGTCATGGGAGAGGTGGTTGTGGGCGAGTTTAGTTCAAAGTAGTCTTTGATTGCCGTGGTTATCTTGTCTTTGATCAGTTTATCGTGAAGGAGTATTGGGTTCAGTCGCCATGACCAATGTGTGTGAATGGTTGGTAGGTGTAGAGTGATTGCTATTTCGGCATGATCGGACCAAGAGATTGGTCCGATCTCTGACTTGGTGATTTGGGGTACCAAGTTTGGGGAGATGAGGAAATGGTCGATGCGCGAGTAAGTTCCGTGTGGGTGGGAGTAGAAGGTGTAATCTTTGGTGGTAGGGTGTTGTGCCCTCCAGATGTCTACCAGTTTTTGTGAGGCTAGAAATTGGGCGAAGAGGATATCATTTTGGTATGGGCGCGTTCGCGTGGACGTGAGTGAAGTCCTGTCTATGGCAGGGGTGTGGGCTGCGTTACAGTCCCCACCCACTATGAGTCGTGTGGTTGAGTAAATGTTGAGGTGGGTTGTTAGCTGTTGCCAGAAGGAAGTATCTGGTGTTGTGGGTGCGTATATCGAGGAGAAGGCGTATTGTATTGTGCCTATTTTTCCCTTTATGGTGACATATCTGCCCTGTGGGTCTTTAGAGCAGGTAATGTCTGTGAGGGGGCTATTTGCTCTCAGGAGGATAGCTACGCCTTTAGTTTTGGTGGCTGGGGAAGGAGCATGAAAGCTTTGTGTGTAGTATCTATTTGTGAGTGGGAATGTGCGATGGGTTGTGAAGTGGGTTTCTTGTATGAGGAGTACGTCGGCTTGTTTGTGTGCCCAGCGGAGGATGCTGTGTCTTTTGTTGGGGGAGTTAAGTCCTTTGGCGTTGATAGAGATGCAGCGTATGGACGTTGGCATGGTGCCTGTGGCGGTGTGGTGTTCCGTTCGGGTGCGCGGTGTTGGGATAGCAGGGGTTGCGCGTCTGAGTGGTCGCGGACCACGAGGGGGGGAGGTTGGGTAAGGGGAGTAGGGAAGCGGGAGGTTATTTGGGGGTGAGGGGGGGAGGTGTGCTGCTGGGCTTATCCAAGGGCCAGCAGGTATTGGGGCGAAGCGTCCGACCGCTCCGTGGGTTTTCCCTGAGAGTTTGGGTGGATTTGTGTCAGGGGTTGGCGACTGTCCAGTCTGAGTCGTCCTAAGGCAGTTTTCAGTGGGTATCCGAGTTTCTACGCCTGCTATGGGTGGTCATCGTCTTGTTGTTGATGTTTCTGTGGGATATGTTCGTTATGTATTGTGTCGTGTGGTGGTAAGGTCGTACCTTGTGGTCTCGTGAGTCAGTAGTCTGGCTGTCTGGTAGGTCCCCATGCAGTTTAGTGGTGAGGGAGGTTTCGTCATCGTCCGGTCTTGAGTTGTCGGTAGGGCGCTGTTTGCCGAGTGTGACTTCTGTGAGCCTATGTAACTGGGTGTATCCTGTAGCTGAAAACCAAACATCATCATTTGTACATTTTGTAACATATTAGTTGAACTTCAACCTGAACCTAGTCACATTTATACCTTCAACTGTGGGGTCTTCTCTTTGGGGGTTCTTGGGCCTTCGTTTAGAGTGTCCCTCTGTGATGCTTTGAGTGGTTCCCTGGGTAGAGGGCCTACAGGGGGGATAGTAGTTTGTCTTAGTGGAGCTATAGTCCCCCTGCGCCTTCTAGGCCCAACCTGTCTGTTAGTAGGATGTGCGGTGTTCCCATCCCTAAACTGGCCTGTCAGTGTTATCGAGGAGCCCCCTGCATGCGTTGTTCCCCAGGGGGGGCGTGCGCAGCATTACGCTTGTCCGGGCCCGTTCATTTCCTAGGGTATGCTGTTTGTACAATGTCCCAGTGTGGCCAGTGGGAATGTCATCTGACCTGTGGGCTAGGGGTGGGAGCTTGACTACTCGACCCTGGCGCAGGTGGTTCAGGGGCTCTATGAGGGCCAGGTGTCTTATTGTAGGGTCAGGTGGGTGAGCGCGTGGCTCGGGGGGTCCCCAGTAGGTCTTGGTTATGTCCCTGGACCTTGTCCGTGGTTGGGTGGGCTCCACACTTATTGCCTGGGGCTGGGGGGGTATGTCGGTTGTAACTTAGGTCAGGCCTGTCCCCTTGTTATTAGCCGTGGTAGCTAGGTTTGGGGTGGTCCTTGGGGTTTGCAGTGCGGTGCCATCCCCCGTGTGTAGTAGCTTACACCGAATGGTGTACTAGTACCCGCCGTCTGTATTATGTGCTCTATCATGTCAAGCTAGGAGTGTTAAACAGCTAAGCATAGTACATATATATATATACATAAATATAAATATAAATATAACATTTAAGTTAAGGAAGTGGTGCGTTAAGCAGATCTTATCTGGAGTTTGGTGTCATCAGCGGTTGTATCGGTAGTAAGTCCAGCATTAGGATGTGGAGAGGTCTGTGGTCGTTGGTACCAGTTGTAGTCGGATCGATGAGTCTGGGGGAGTAGTGAGCTGCTGCATGGGTAGTCAGAGTTCTTTTTGTGGGCAGTCCGTATTGGGTCTTTCGTCGACCTTCTGTTGGCTTGTAGGGTGGTGGGTGGTCATCTTGTCGTTCAGTTTTCGGCCCTGGGGCGCGGGCTATTGGGTATCTGGCATGCCCCGGTAGGCGGTGGTGCATTCCTGGGTGGAGGACCTCTTTCGCTTCTTCTGGGATTTGGGTCAGCGGTGAGGGTTGTAGGGTCAAGGCCGAGGCTCTCAGCGAAGTCGTGCATTTCAGCTGTGTTGTGTAAGATGTAAGTACGGTTGTTCTTCCTTACTTGCAGCTTGAATGGGTGCCCCCATGAGTAGCGGATGTGTTGCCTTGCGAGTTCTTGGGTGAGGGGCCGTAGTTCCCTTCTCTTTCTTAAGGTGCTCGGGGCTAGGTCTTGGTAGAAGGAGACTTGGTGTCCTTCTAGTTGTAGTGGTGTGTTTCGGGCTGCTTGCATGAGTGCTTCCTTGATATGGAAGTAGTGCACTCTGATAATGACGTCCCTGGGTTGGGTGGCATTGGGCAGGGGTGTTCGCAGGGCCCTGTGTGCTCTGTCCAGCAGGAGTTCCGCCGGTGAGGCTTCTGGGAGTAGGCCGCAAAAGAGCTCCCGCAGTGTTGGGCCTAGCGTATCCATGTCGACCGTTTCAGGCACCCCGCGTATCCTAATATTATTGCGGCGTGACCGATTGTTAAGGTCCTCCTGAGCCTCTTCCAGTTGGCGGACCTGGTCTTGGAGAGAGGCTATGGCGTTTTCATTTACCGTGGTGCGTGTGGTTGTACGGTCAAGCTGTTCCTCTATGGCCGTGGTTCTGTGTGTCAGATCAATTAGGCCCTCTTTGATGGGTGTGAGGTGTTTGTCGAATTCCACCTTCATATTAGCTTTAATTTCTTGTAGTAGGTGGTGGAGGTCGTCTTTTGTTAGTGGGGTAGAGGTGGTCGCTCGGCTTGTGTCGCTGGCTGCTGAGTCTGAATCATAGCCGCGGCCATCTTCTGAGCGCATGGCGCCGCCATCTTTGCGGCTCCGAAAAATCGGCGCTACCTCCGCGCCTTGCTTTGATTTTCGTCCGCCTCCCATTGTAGTTCAGGTGAGTACCGTGGGGAGCAGCTGGGGTGACCAAGTGGGGGTGGATTGAGCGGTTACGGGCGCTGTTGTTAGCCGGCTCTGTGCCTCTGTGGACGGAGCTCCCTCAGAAAGCCGCCATTCGCGCCGGAAGTCAGGCGCCGCCGCCAGGATAAAGCTATGTTAATAGCATTTTCTTTAAGTCTCTTATTATGTTTAGTGTCCACTTTACGGTTTTATACCAAATGTGTGCACTCTACATATAAACACATAAAACAAATGATTTTGCACTTCCTTGACTCGAGTACAATACAGACAGATAGACAGGTAGATAATTAAATATGTTTGAATTTATTTTGTACAATGAATTGTGCATGTGTTTAAAACATTTTTCTTTTTTACACTTTTACTGAATCATACAAACCATAACCTGCCACCCTTAGCATTCTGCATGACGTCAATGGCCAAAATAGTCACCGATTTTTAATACATTACACAGATAAAGCAAAATGATAATTAAACAAAACAAACTTAAAAGTTACCTTCAAAAACAGTTAAGAGCATAGAGGATCTGACTGCAGCCTCACACAGATTCCGCCCTTACCTGGAAGAGGCTCCACCTATCAGGAGCCACTCATTCTGGTCTATTGGGTCTGATCTTATTCTATTTATATGAAAGATCGTAAATACTCCGTCTGCAGTTTCAATCATTGTATAGGATGAGTGGAACTGCTTTGTAAACTGATAGCCAGTAATGCAAAGTTGTTATGGTGCGTCAACTTTAATGAACATTACTCTGAAACATTATGTAAAACCGTTACAGTGTGTGTACAGTACCAATCACTGCCCTTTGTTTGGTTATAGTTTGAATATACCTGGAAATCAGGTATCCATGATCCTTGTTCTTTCAATAAATAATTCTAACCTTCGGTGGTTAATTGACAGGTCTTGTGGTGGGATATCCGAAAAATGAGTGAACCCACGGAGCGCCTAGTCCTGGACATCACAAAGAAAGGCAGCCTGGACATTGCACTGGGAGCGATTTCATTGGAGTTTGAACCCACCATAGTGAGTCTTTACATCAATATTTATTGCAAATAAAGAAACCACAGCCACAACATGATGGCAAATGTATAGAATCCAGAATATAAAACACAATTGTGATTAACAAACCGTAATACACTGCTATAAAGCAAATATACAGCTTAAAGGATCACTATAGTGTCAGGAAAACAAACCCGTTGGCACTGAAGAGGTTAAAACCCCTTCAGCAGCTTACCTTAATCCAGCGCCGGGCTCCCTCAGCGCTGGTGACCTCTCCTCCCCGTCCGTCGTCAGCTCCCGACTGGAGCAGAATGCGCATTCACGGCCAGAGCCGTGCGCATTCACACAGTCCATAGGAAAGCATCTCTCAATGCCTGCCTATGGACGTTCTGCACGCTGGATGCGAATTTCGCATCCAGCGTTGCAGAAACGCCGCTAGTCACCAGTCCCTGCGGGAGGGGGTGCAGTCACCTGTCCCTGCGGGAGGGGGTGCAGTCACCTGTCCCTGCGGGAGGGGGTGCAGTCACCTGTCCCTGCAGAAGGCGGTGCAGTCACCTGTTCCTGTGGTAGGTGGTGCTGCTGTTTGCTCCTGTGGGTGATCAGACATCCATACTTTCCATACCATATTGTAAGATAATCTTTTAGAAAAGGTAATGCACTGTTATCAGTCTGCACACATAGAGAAACTATTTAAAAAACAAGGTTCAGATAGTGACAAAGTGTGCTCCAGTTACAGTGTAGTTTATGTCCAAGGGTCCATATCACCACCCAGTGGCCATTTCATGGAATGCTCTGTAAATATACCCCCAGGTGGCATGAAGCTCCTGATATCTTTAGATTTATTAACCCCAGATGTGGTAGGTCACAGGTAAGTGAGTTTTTATTGTTATTTGTTCTCCGGTACGGTGAGGGCATGTAGCTTGGTTGGATACTTTGAGTGATACGATGGCGGCCGCAATTTATGCATTTAGACACATTGAGTTCTGTTAACTTGTTTAGCTTCCACCTTGATGGTTTAGCAAATTAAATCTAATTCAAATAATGTAATGCATAATTTGAGCTCGCCGTTACATTCACACTTTATAAATGCATTTTTTCCCTTTCCTTGTACAGCCAACAAAGTTCATGGTTGGGACAGAGCAGGGAATGGTCATTTCATGCAATCGAAAGGCCAAGACGCCAGCCGAAAAGATTGTGTGCACGTACAGCGGTCATCACGGTCCTATATACTCTGTGCAGAGAAATCCCTTCTTCCCAAAAAACTTCCTAACTGTTGGAGATTGGACAGCTCGAATCTGGTCTGAAGACTCTAGAGAATCCTCGATTATGTGGACAAAGTAAGAGACGCTTCATGTGATGTAGAAATGAAAATGAGCTTACGCTTTAATGGCATTTGTAGTCATACCAAAAATCTGTTTTTTCAATGTGCATCAAGATATGGATAGTGAGCTGGTAACGGTTTTACTTTGTAAAATAACTATTGTAATTAAACCAAGACTTGGCCTAGCAGGCAAATTACGTGTTGCTAATGGTGGACATGCCTGTGTGTACACGTTCTGCACGTAAACATTGTAGTGTAGGTTGATTCCATTTGATGTCGTATAATCCCCCCGCCCCCCTTACTACAGATCAATCTCTTTTCACCCACAGGTATCACATGAGTTATTTGACAGATGGAGCCTGGAGCCCAACACGCCCGACCGTCTTCCTGACGACAAAAATGGATGGCACCCTGGATGTATGGGACTACCTGTTTAAACAGAACAACCCTTCTCTTAGTCTGAAGGTCAGTGAGGGTCACCTACGCACCAAATCTTCTAAATCCCATCAGAACAGATGCAATGTGCCTATATACCAGTCGCGAAAAAGGGGCGTGGTGGTGTTTGGTAGAGAATGAAACTGAATATGTGCAAACGTGGTTTGTGGGATTGAGCCACGGGTCATGCCTAAAAGATATCTTCTGGAAACTAGTATATGATTTAACCTTCTGGAACTAGAAATGATTTAACCTTCTGGAACTAATATATGATTTAACCTTCTGGAACTGGCCTATGATTTAACCTTCTGGAACTAGTATATGATTTAACCTCTGGAACTAGTATATGATTTAACCTCTGGAACTAGTATATGATTTAACCTTCTGGAACTACCATGTGATTTAACCTTCTGGAACTAGCATATGATTTGCTGGCGATTTTATTCACTCTTATTGCTAATGACAGGCCTACTTTAAATAGTAATTATGAGAGTAAAAAGTCACCAGTTCTGAACCAACATGCCAGACTATGCAGACAGCGTAAATAACTTTATTAATAACTTGATTTCATATTTTCCGATAAGCTTTTCAAATTATTTAATATTTTTGTGTGAATTTAAAAAACAAATTCAACTTATTCAAATCTAAAAATCGAAAATGTTAAAATGTTATTCAAATTATTAAAAGTTTATACAAAAATATTAAATAATTTGAAAAGATTATTCAAAAACATTACATTGAGGCCAAATATTTCCACATGCCCTGCACCCAACTAGCTATCACTTCATCCCCCCAAAGATAGACCACATGCTGTAAGTGTGAACTACAATATGATGCTGTGGCAAGATGTTACAGTGTAAAAAGTCAAGCATTGCCCAAAACATTGTAAGAACCTTAATGTAAGATTAATATAATGATCTTTATGTAATACACTAGTACGTGTACCTATGGCATATGTTGCCCTAACCGGCTGCATCCTATATTAACATTTAGTATCTTACTGGTACTTTGTACCCTGTACTTGTCATTCACACAGACTGAGAGTAGGACAAGGAGTTCCAAATTGCTCTACGCAGTGGTGTTATTTGAATTAAAGATTTATTCCACGTCGTTTTACAAAATGACTGTATATATATTCTCCAATTTGCAGGTGTGTGATGAGCCTTTATACAGCCTCCGAATTCAAGATAATGGACGCTTTGTTGCCTGTGGTTCAAAGAATGGTCTGACCACTCTTCTAGAACTCTCACCAGGGCTTTACACAATGCAGAGGAACGAGAAAAATATTGCCACTGCGGTAAGTCTCTATCCTAATGTGTGAATATCTTAATAAGGTACAGGGTGTAATGAGACATAACCTGCTGAGTAAATCTATACCCCCATTACCCTCTCTGAAACTGTACAAATTGCTGTGCTCAGTATAATTTGTGGTACGGGAAAGGATACGTGCCTAGCAACTCTTGTTTCTTTTTTGTGAAAATGTTTGGATTTTCCTATTCCTGTCTCAATAAGTGATCAAATATATTATACCCACATAATAAGCCCTAGCACCGCTGCCGTACAGAATTTAGAATACTACATATCACGAGCTATCGAGTCCATTTGGGATTAACCTTTGCATGGTCAGTGATCCAGCTCGTCCTAGAGAGATCTTGGACCAATGAAGACTAACACCCGCTAGAATCTGCAGCCTGTAACATTTTAGCTTCCATCCCGGCATGTGGGACGTCTCTTGGAAGATTTGTGGTAACCGAACCCCTAGATCAGGCGTACACAGTCCATGATAAGTGTGAGCTTGGTATGCTGATACAGGCAGCATGGCCCACTGCTGGACTTCCTGTCCATGTGGATTGGGGACAATTATATCAAAATCCAGACATTTGCCATCTGTGTATTCTAGTGTCACCTTGGAGCCTACGATCCAATAAAATATACGTGAGCATCGCAGTCATTTTATTCTTCTTTTTTTTTCTCTTAACATTATGTTCATTGTACGACTTCAGATTTCACCTTAATTTGGCGATACCTTTTTGTTACGTGATTTTTTTTGCGACCTCAATGGTTTTTTTCCCCACTTCATGAAGAGAATATAATTTGTGCTCTCCAAGTATATTTTCAGATGCTCTCACACATTACACAGAGGAATTTGAAAGCCATGAATAATTTCTAACATTTCCCTCCTTTTTCAGATGTTTGAGCGTGAAACAAAGCGAGAGAAGATCCTGGAGGCGCGGCACCGCGAGATGCGCCTGAAGGAACGCAGTAAGGCTGAGCCAAGCAAGGATGAGGATACCAGAGAAGAGAATCCAGAGGAAAATACAGATGAGCTGATTGCCAAGGCGGAGAAAGAGTTCTTTGAGATCATCGAGGCAGAACGCAAACGCCTGGAGAAAGAGGATAATAAAGAGAAGGAAGAGGGAGAGGTGGTACTAACGGACTGTATATTAACTCTTTATTGACTAGAGAACATAACTAACTGCATGCCCCACTGCTAGAGATATCAATATATTAACTTTGCCGCATTGCTGGATATAGTTATTCCACCTCAACAAGACCTGGCAACGTTTTGACCTTAGTGATCTCTCAGCAGAGTGAAAGGAGCACTATAGTGTTAGGAATAAAAATGTGTATTCCATACGCTATTCTGTCCTAGTCACCGTTCAGGTGATCGCCCCTTTCCCTCGTAAGGTCTAAATAATAAACAGGTTATCTACATTTTCTCCTACTGCACGATGCTCTCTCCATAGGAAAGTATTGTGAGACGAGTGCTCATGGCGTCTCTGAGATCATCTGATTGAAATAGTCGAGTTATACCCAGTTATATTGTCGGAAGCGCCTCTAGTGGTCGTCGGTGTGATTATATCCCTGCAATGCAAACTGCTAGTCCTGCAGAACGGTGATGTTTTACTCTGCAGGGTTAAAACAATGGCCCATGGTACACAGACTCAATTGAGATGAATTGGTCTGGGTGCCGATAATGTCCCTTAAATTAATATTTTATTTCTCCATTTTTTCTTTGCAACGGTCTGTATATCCAGTTAGAGGTGCTAAGTGTGCGATGTGTGCCAGAAATACTGCCAAATAGCCAGGAATGTGAGTGGTTTTCTATAAAATGGCGTGCGTTCATGAATGAAATGTTCATAGGATGAATGAGAAAAAGCATCATTCACATGAGTGCACCTCTATTAAGGCTCAGTTTAATAATGGGGTGCATCGTTACAGGACAGAGTACATTGAGGGTACCCCATCCTTCATTCTAAGAGTGCTGGGGTACATCACTGTACCCCCTGACCATAATGACCTTAGGAGATGCTGAGGAGTCCAGTTCATCACTCCTAGCTTGCCGAAGTCTTTAACCCCAGCCCTAAGCTTTTTTTTCCAGTCCATCTAACCCTTAGCGGTGACATTTTTAGTTCAATTCCTGCATTGATCAATTTTTCTGAGTTATCATCACTCTTAGCCAGTCTCATCCAGATGGGATAGTGTAAATTCAACATTATCAATGTGCTTGAGATGGGGGCAGTCACTTGACACCAGAAGGAGCCCCTATTTGTGACAAACTGGCAAATGGTTGTGGCTTGATTGCTTAACGTGTCCCTTTTAATGGGGGATTTCTGAAATAATTTTTAACCCTTACAATGCCATCGTGCTAATTTGGATTTGTGTATCTGTCTGAAACGTCGTAGTTTCTCAGTGCCCTGGGCTTCCACAATGCTCACTCATGCATTCATTGCCGGATTTTGGTTGTGACTGCCACGATAGTACAAAACTAAGTTCTGTCTTCTTGACTGATTCTATAACCAATTGTAGAGGCCAAAATGTGTGCTTACCACTTTTTTTTTCTTTAGTAAATATTTTGGCTAAATAATGGCTTTTGTCTTCAACAGGAGAAAGAAGTTTCAGAGGAGAAGATATAATTTCAAAGGTAACACCATAATATATTCCTCCACAATGAAGCGTGTGGTGCGTGAGATATGCTAGCGGCAGGATATGTGGATAATTTGTAATATTCTGGAAAGGAAGTCTCAGAAATGTGATCTGCATCCAAGGACCGCTACCAGTGCACAATTTGATGAGACAGTTTAGTTAGTTAATGCATCAACTAGTATATGATTTAACCTTCTGGAACTAGTATATGATTTAACCATCTGGAAACTAGTATATGATTTTACCTTCTGGAAACTAGTATATGATTTAACCTTCTGGAACTAACATGTGATTTAACCTTCTGCTTGATGTTTAGGGATGAAGGTTTGATTCTTGGGACTATCAGCCCGACTTTTCACTCTTCAGAGGTTAAAGGACCACTTTAGTCATACAGACCACTTCAGCTCAATGAAGTGGTCTGGGTGCCAGGTCCCCTAGGTTTTAACCCTGCAGCTTTAAACATAGCAGTTTCAGAGAAACTGCTATGTTTATCTTGCAGGGTTAATCCAGCCTCTAGTGGCTGTCTCCCTGAGAGCCGCTAAAAGGCGCTTCCCCGACGCTCAATGCGAAAATCGCATTGAGCATGCAGAACGTCCATAGGAAAGCATTGAGTAATGCTTTCCTATGGGCGGTTTGAATATGCGCGCGGCTCTGGCCGTGCATGCGCATTTGGCTCTTGCCGTGCACATTCGGCTCCACTAGGGAGCTGACGTCGGAGGGGGAGGAGAGGTCACCAACGCTGAGGGAGCCCATCACTGGAGAAAGGTAAGTGGCTGAAGGGGTTTCAACCCCTTCAGCCCAGCGGGAGGGGTCCCTGAGGGTGCGGGGAACCTAAGGATTATATAGTTTTAGTTATAGGTCCTTTAATAAAATAAATAATATTTTCGGGCAGGCTTGGATGATCTTGATATTTTTTGTCTTTGGTTGCAGACATTCAGCCCCAGAGACAAACTGTGTTTTTGCTGTTGATGTTGTGGCCGTACTGTAGATGTATAAACACCACACATACTCAATAGAGGACAATCTTAGATTTATCATACTGATATTGGTAGATATAGAATGTTCACACAATCATAGAAACATAGAAACATAGAAACATAGAATGTGACGGCAGATAAGAACCATTCGGCCCATCTAGTCTGCCCAATTTTCTAAAAACTTTCATTAGTCCCTAGCCTTATCTTATAGTTAGGATAGCCTTATGCCTATCCCACGCATGCTTAAACTCCTTTACTGTGTTAACCTCTACCACTTCAGCTGGAAGGCTATTCCATGCATCCACTACCCTCTCAGTAAAGCAATACTTCCTGATATTATTTTTAAACCTTTGTCCCTCTAATTTAAGACTATGTCCTCTTGTTGTGGTAGTTTTTCTTCTTTTAAATATAGTCTCCTCCTTTACTGTGTTCCCTTTATATATTTAAATGTTTCTATCATATCCCCCCTGTCTCGTCTTTCCTCCAAGCTATACATGTTAAGATCCTTTAACCTTTCCTGGTAAGTTTTATCCCGCAATCCATGAACCAGTTTAGTAGCCCTTCTTTGAACCCTCTCTAAGGTATCAATATCCTTCTGATGATATGGTCTCCAGTACTGTGTACAATACTCCAAGTGAGGTCTCACCAGTGTTCTGTACAATGGCATGAGCACTTCCTCTTTCTACTGCTAATACCTCTCCCTATACAACCAAGCATTCTGCTAGCATTTCCTGCTGCTCTATTACATTGTCTGCCTACCTTTAAGTCATCAGAAATAATCACCCTAAATCCCTTTCCTCATATGTTGAGGTTAGGACTCTATCAAATATTCTGTACTCTGCCCTTGGGTTTTTACGCCCAAGATGCATTATCTTGCACTTATCCACATTAAATGTCAGTTGCCACAATTCTGACCATTTTTCTAGTTTACCTAAATCATTTGTCATTTGGCTTATCCCTCCTGGAACATCAACCCTGTTACATATCTTAGTATCATCAGCAAAAGACATACCTTACCATCAAGACCTTCTGCAATATCACTAATAAAAATATTAGAGAATGGGTCCAAGTACAGATCCCTGAGGTACCCCACTGGTGACAAGTCAAAGCTTCGAATATATTCCATTAACTACAACCCTCTGTTGCCTGTCACTCAGCCACTGCCTTACCCATTCAACAATATTGGAATCCAAACTTAAAGATTGCAGTTTATTGATAAGCCTTCTATGTGCAACAGTGTCAAAAGCCTTACTGAAATCTAGGCAAGCAATGTCTACTGCACCACCCTGATCTATAATTTTAGTTACCCAATCAAAAAAATCAATAAGTTAGCCCTCGTTAGCTGCAAATATCAGTAGGTTTGTTAGAATAAATCCGTTATTTTCTGTGAAAGCTTTAATAGGTTGAATGATCGCATTACTTTTGTAATGACAAAGGGCCTGTGCTATTAAATACAAAAATACAATGAGTCTTGAATTTCCATGTGCAACGTTCCCTAAAAAAAGTTACATTTTCCATTGCTGGTGTCCGGCTGACGGCATGGGTGCCTTAGAGAGTACTTGCTTTCAAAGTGATCATTTCTTGCCAGTATGAGGCTATATCTGCCATTCCACTGGCAGTAATAAGGTTTTCGACAGATTTAGTTTTCACTCGGACTGACCGTATAATACACTGCATCGGTGACAGACACATTGGCTACAAATTACTAGAAATTCACCGGCCCAAATTAGGCCAGCTGGGAACTGCCAACTTGAAGAACTTCTCCAGTTTGACTAGCTTGGCCTTATATTTGTAATTCAGTGGTGGGTATTGTGACAACTCACACGGTAAATGTATCTATAGGTTTAGTATGGCTGCTGGAAGCAGGAAACTAAATCCTTTTAATTAGACAAAATCCTTGTCTTATAAATTGTTTCTTTTCTTCCAGGTACAAGAAACAGGCCGCATAACAAGCTACGCAATCATTTATTTTTTCTACATTTGTATATTTGTAAAGTCAAAATAGAAAGAAATATTTTATTGCAAAATAATAAAAAATTCAATATCGTGTGCCTTTTTTATTTATAAAATGTAAAATATGTGTTATGTGTAACTTTCTTTTCTTGTCATACGAAGAAGACGTTCTCGTTGTGGATTAAGATATCTGATAGTCTTGTTACTGTCTTACGCAAACATCTCTAAAGTTCTAGAGATTGAAATTTCAGAATGATGCCAAACAATACTTCATCATTAGAGAAAGGATAACGCTTGCACTGCTGGGTTTGAAAATGGCGTTGTGCTAGACCAGGGGTAGGCAACCTATGGCACGGGGTGCCTTTGCACGGCACTCAAGACTTCTAGAGCTAAATAGGCTCTGGCCTATCAGGAGTACCAGCGGAACTTCATATATCTGTTAGTGCAAAAAGGTGGTGAGGGACAATCCTCAATTTATGCATTACAGCACTTAAAGGAATGGTCTGAGATCACTTCCAGCAATTTTGAACTGGAAACCACACTGGAGTAGAGCTGCCTGCAGCAGCTATTGCATCTCCTAGCCCAAAACCTGTACCTGGCCAGTCCAGTCCCCACTGGATCCCAAGGAAGTCACCCACACTGCTAGATATACACTGAGCTGCAGAATAAGCCTCTCCTCGTACAAATAATACCATCATACCCCATACATACACACACACAGTCCCCAGAGGCACACCACTGACAACCCACATACACGCACACAACTCCACAAGTAGCCTCTCCTGATAGGCCAGAGCCTATTTGCAATACCACAAGCAGCCACACACATACACCAAACACACTATGTGGCATATCATCCACACACAATTCCACAAGCAGCCACCATACACACCCGACATTCATTGGTATCATACACAATGCCACAAACTACTCAGAAATATATACAATATAATAACCCAGATACGCACAAATTTAACTCTACAAAGCAACTCCATACAGCTGTCATAAATAAAACAAGCACAATATGGCAACATACATACCTCAATTTAAAGAAAATAGGACCGGCACACCAAGGGACTTCGAAGATCTTATTTTGGCACAATACTACTAATAGGTTGCCTACCCCTGTGCTAGACAGTTGGTGTTAATAGAAATGACACCATCTAACACATAACAAGCTCTTTAAAACATATTTTAAGATCCTGACAGGAGAAATCAGAATAGTCGAACAAACAACCCATGGTCCACCCAGAATAAGGAAACATAGAACACACGCACTCTCAGACTATGGAGACCGGGCACCTGAGTCCTGGGTTGACAAAGTTTAAATAGCTCTAGTGTAAAAGCATGTGAGCAACACCAAAACGTAACATTATTGACTATAAATCTGGTGTCAGCGGCGTGTTTGACGCTAAGTTACGATGATTTGCGTCAATGTTGACGATTGATAGAAGCACAGCGAGCCCTGGAATGATGCAGAGAATTACTAAGCAACCTGACAAAGTCTTAATTAGCTAAATGTAGGCCTTGCTAACCAATCTGTGAATAGAAGGGGATGATGAATTTTTAAAAGCTGCAAACTCTTCTTTCAACTGAGCACAATTAATTGACTGAATAAGCACCCATGGGTAGCAGGATACAAACACTGATCAGCCACAACATTAAAACCACCTACCTAATAATGTATAGGTCTCCTTTGTGCTGCCAGCTCTGATACATTGAGCCATGGACTCCACAAGACCTCTGAACGTGTCCTCTGGTATCTAGCACAAAGACATTTGCAGCATATCCGTTAAGTCCTGCAAGTTGCGAGGTGGGGCCTCCATGGATTGGATTTGTTGTTCCAGCATATCCCACAGATGCTCAGTTGGATTGAGATCTGGGGAATTTGGAGGCCACGGCAGCACCTTGAACTCATTGTTATGTTCCTCAAACCATTCCTGAGCTATTTTGGCAGTGTGCATTATCCTGCTGATAGAGACCACTGCCATTGGACCGGTGTCATCATGGGCATTCTGACTGGTCTACCCCATACGCAGCAAACTGCAATACACTGTGTGTTCTGACACCTTTATATCATGGCCACATTGCAATTTCAGCTTCCATAGCTCTTCATTGTGATCGGACCAGACGGACTAGCATTCACTCCCCACGAGCATCAACGAGCCTTGGGTCCCCTGACCCTGATGCTCGTTCACTGGTTGCTCTTCATTGCACCACTTTTGGTAGGTACCAACCACTACATACCGGGAAACCCCACAAGACTTGCCATTTTGGTGGTATTCTCTGAAATTGAGAGATTTAGAATCTCAGATTTAGATTGATTAATTTTTAAATTAGACATTTTTTCCGAAGATGTAAAGTTATTTTTTTATGTTAGGTAAAGAGATTTGAGGGTTAGTTACAAAAAAATAGAAAGTCATCTGCAAAAGCAGATATCTTGTGTAGCGGACCCAGGGTAACCCGACTGGTTACCTTCAGCCGGTCAGGAACCATGTAAAGGACAAATAGACCTATTTCCCCCCCCTGTAAATGGACGACACACAGGTGGATAACAGGTATCATCTGTAGGACCAGAGTCAGGTAGGGCTTCCTTTCTGCCCCAGGCTGGTGTGTTGGCCAGCATCGCAATGCCAAGAACTCGAGCCCTTACAAAGTCCAAGTCCTTCTCCCGCAATGGAGAGCAGTCGGTCCTGGTGGTAACTCGAATTGTACTGCGAACAGACCTCTGCTGATGTGGAAGATGCTGAGGAGCCGAACCCCCAGAGTCCTTCAGCCTGGGTGTGCAAATGGCTGGCTGGACAGGCACTGATGTGGTACCTAATGGGAGCTCTCCCGCTTTTTGCCAAGCACTCCTCCGATTCCCAGCCTTAATTTCTGGTGGTGCCGTTAAATACTCCAAGGTGGCCCAAAAACGCTTGAAAATAATAGCTTCAAGAGGGTGTGCTCTATGGAGCTTGGTTGAGTCATCTCTTACAGCTTCGAGCCTTCCCTGGTGGGAGCAAAAGCATCCGCCATCTTGTCCGTGCAGAGTTATGTTGGAGCTGATGGGATGAAATGCTGAGTGGTAAGAGACCGTGTATAGAACAGTCCAGTTGGGGCCGGGATAACCAGCCGTGGAGCGTGGAGGAGATCCGTAAGGGTTGATGCCACATGGACTAAGGAGAGACCATTTGAACCTACTGCCCTAATGATAATTCTTTGTATCTTCCTTGTTTTTAGCTCTTTCTTCCTGAAGAACTTTCTCTGTTTTCCCAGAAAACATGAAAATAATTCAGACTCCAAAAACCTTTCTGCAGATTAACAACACATTATCACTTAAACACATAAACAAAAACAAAGTTTTAAAATTATTATTTGCTGTTAAGACCCTCTCGCTCCATCCTTTGGAGATCTATAGATTTTCTTATATATCTACCTATATAATCCACATCCCCCCTTTTTTTTTGTGTCAATCATTTTTATTGAAGGTAATTTTTTCAAATATTCCATAGGCATACGGTAAGTAAAACGGTAAATGGTACAAGACATATAAAAAACAAGTAACAGAAACAATGCTCATATTTTCTACTCTCAAAATCTGGAGGTTGTCTACATACGAACCCATGCCCGCGGCTTAGGGTCTGTCGGTAAATGGTACAAGACATATATAAACAAGTAACAGAACAATGCTCATATTTTCTACAATCGAAATCTGGAGGTTGTCTACATACGAATCCATGCCTGCGGCTTGGGTAATATGAAGGTCAGTCAACCTTCGGTCAACCCGACAAGTGATTGCTGTGCTTTGTTTAACCCTGCGTCCCCATGTGCACCCCGAGGTGCATGTAGAATGTTTAAGTGTCAACTCTTATAGGTGGTCAGTCATGTTTCGGCGTGTTGTGCTCTAAATCTTCCCCCTCAGAGAAGGGGAGTCAAACTAATTACTCACTAGGATTGTGAGGTCAGCCTTATACCTGTCGCCTCCACCCAAGCCGTTATGTCTAGGAGGGTGACCCTCATCCCCCCTTTCTCCCCACCTATACCCCCTCTCTGTCTTTTTTGCTGTTCTTCTTCTTAGTTCAATTAGAAGTCTTCTGCAAAGGATATTCGTTTGGTAAATAAATCTAATGAATTAATGCAAACCACGCTGGCTGGCCCTGTAAGAGCCTCAATCAGAGCTCAAATGAATTCTCGAATGATTTATTTGCCGGACATTCCGAAATAAGTTACTGTCTGCTGTCTGCGCATGCATCAAGTGGGCGCATAGTTAGAAGGAAATGCAGTGAGACAGATGGTGTAAGGATCATACACAGAGTGAGATGTATCATCATGTAAACATTCAGCGCGGTTTGTGGAATTTACCTCAGATTTACTTATAGTCAATATCAGATCTGCAGAGATAAAATAGTTTTTAAAATATTGTAACCATTTATTGCAAAACAAATCCAGCGTTTTATAATTTTATAATCGAGATATTTATGGTAATTAGATTGAGCAAGGATCAAATAACAGATAGACCGTAATGAAATACACAGACTTTGAAGGTTTTATATAAAACTGTTCAGGGAGAATTTTTTTGGCGGGGGGCATTATTTTTGCTCTCCATAAGTTTAAAGGGTAATCCAGACGTGGACCCCTTGCTCACGGTGCCTAGAGAGATATCAGCTATGCCTCACTGATGATGCCTAACAAGGCTGAAACGATCGGCTGGGGTTGCTGTATCTCTCGTGCAGAGGGAACTTGCTGGCTTTTCGGATCTGGACTGCCCGTATAGGTGGGACCAGTCTGATATGCTTCAGATATGTTCTCTCTGTAATGGCATAAGTTGAGCTAAAACCAGCTTGAGTTCTGAGCGGGGACCCACCAAAGGGCAGGCTATTTCAGTTGTTGTCCATTCTCAGAATACTCTTGCGACCCGTTTTTTTGCTCTCTATAATGTATAGATAATATGTAGATTCTATTAACATCGCTCTTGGTGTATATTTTCTGTAAACGTTCCTAGAAAAGAAGAGAGGTGTCCACCCCCACCCCCAATAAAAATCCATGGTAGACTGAATGCAGTCAGTGGACACATCACTGGCGTCCTGCGCCCACTCCACAGTAAATCTCTCTGTAACAGTGTCACCCTGATAGCGATGGCTGCGTTGGATGTAAGAAGGGATTGTCAGACGGCCATGTCCTCTCCAGCAATCTGCTACCAGCCCACGAGCAAGGATGATATCACAGCTCCATCTGGCATAACACGCGGCTCTGATCTGCATTCCTGTAATTACACTTATATCTTATTTTTTTGCTGTTTGCAGATCTCCTTTGTGCCTATTGCTAGTCAGTTCAGTATAATTTGGTATTAAGTAAATTATTGCAAAACGCACTGCTTTACAATTCCCATAATGCACTGCAAAGCGTTTTCTTGTTCGACCGAAAGAATTGGCTATAAGCAGCATCTCACCCGCTCGAACAAAATGAGTGAAAATGACATTGGAAGTCCGTTACCGTGCTGGAGGTCATCACCGGCTTTTCCAATAAATTAGATGGCTCTTCACACATGTCCTGACAATTTACTGACATTTTCCGTTTTAATACAGCTGATTTCTTCACCTTTTAGTGGTATGCAAACAGTATAAGTGTGTAATAAACTCTCCGCACCCAGCAGAGCCCATTGGCAAACCCAGTGTGCTGGACTGAAGAGCTGACAATTAGGTGGAGCTTGGTGATTAAACCCCGCAGTGAATAAACCCTGCAGTGAATTATTATTATTATGATTTATATAGCGCCAACAAGTTCCGTAGCGCTGTACAATGGTTGGACTAACAGACACATAATTGTAATCAGACGAGTTGGATGCACAGAAACAGAGGGGTTGAGGGTCCTGCTCAGTGAGCTTACATGCTAGCAGGCTTCCCCAAACTCTGGCCCTCCAGATGTTGTTGAACTACGACTCCCATGATTCTATGAATGAAATAGCTAGGCTGAGAATCATAGGAGTTGTAGTTCAGCAACATCTGGAGGGCAGGAGTTTGGGGAAGCCTGTGAGTGGGGGAAAGTGACAAAGGGTAAAGTGATTAAACCCCACAGTAATACTCTGCCCATCTGACACAGTGTCTATCAGTTAATCAGGAGTTGGAAGGGGTGGGGGGCACTAGCAGCAGACTGTGCAGGAAAACAAACTGCAAAATGTTGGAAAACAGAATTGCAAAAACAATCTCTTTACAGTCTGCAGTCACAGTTTCAGGGTCTTTAGTCAGTTTCAGGGTCTTTAGTCAGATTCAGGGTCTGTACTCACAGTTTCAGGGTCTGTAGTCAGTTTCAGGGTCTGCAGTCACAGTTTCAGGGTCTGCAGTCAGTTTCAGGGTCTGTAGTCAGTTTTAGGGTCTATAGTCACAGTTTCAGGGTCTGCAGTCAGTTTCAGGGTCTGCAGTCAGTTTCAGGGTCTATAGTCACAGTTTCAGGGTCTTTAGTCATATTCAGGGTCTGTAGTCAGTTTCAGGGTCTGTAGTCACAGTTTCAGGGTCTGCAGTCACAGTTTCAGGGTCTGCAGTCAGTTTCAGGGTCTGTAGTCAGTTTCAGGGTCTGCAGTCAGTTTCAGGGTCTGTAGTCACAGTTTCAGGGTCTGCAGTCATAGTTTCAGGGTCTGCAGTCAGTTTCAGGGTCTGCAGTCACAGTTTCAGGGTCTGTAGCCACAGTTTCAGGGTCTATAGTCACAGTTTCAGGGTCTGTAGTCAGTTTCAGGATCTTTTGTAACAGTTTCAGGGTCTTTTGTAACAGTTTCAGGGTCTGCAGTCACAGTTTCAGGGTCTGCAGTCACAGTTTCAGGGTCTGTAGTCAGTTTCAGGGTCTGCAGTCACAGTTTCGGGGTCTGCAGTCACAGTTTCGGGGTCTGCAGTCAGTTTCAGGGTCTGTAGTCAGTTTCAGGGTCTGCAGTCACAGTTTCAGGGTCTGTAGTCACAGTTTCAGGGTCTGAAGTCAGTTTCAGGGTCTGCAGTCACAGTTTCAGGGTCTGTAGTCACAGTTTCAGGATCTGAAGTCAGTTTCAGGGTCTGCAGTCAGTTTCAGGGTCCGTAGTCACAGTTTCAGGGTCTTTTGTAACAGTTTCAGGGTCTGCAGTCACAGTTTTAGGGTCTGTAGTTACAGTTTCATGGTCTTTTGTACAGTTTCAGGGTCTGCAGTCACAGTTTCAGGGTCTGTAGTCAGTTTCAGGGTCTGTAGTCAGTTTCATGTTCTGCAGTCACAGTTTTAGGGTCCGTAGTCACAGTTTCAGGGTCTGCAGTCACAGTTTCAGGGTCTGTAGTCAGTTTCAGGGTCTGTAGTCAGTTTCATGTTCTGCAGTCACAGTTTCAGGGTCTGTAGTCACAGTTTCAGGGTCTGCAGTCAGTTTCAGGGTCTGTAGTCAATTTCAGGGTCTGTAGTCACAGTTTCAGGGTCTGTAGTCAGTTTCAGGGTCTGTAGTCAGATTCAGGGTCTGCAGTCACAGTTTCAGGGTCTGTAGTCCGGTTTTCAGGGGTCTGCGGTCAGTTTCAGGGTCTCAGTCACGGTTCAGGGTCTGCCGGTCAGTTTCAGGGTCTGTAGTCGGTTTCGGGGTCTGCGGTCGGTTTCAGGGTCTGCGGTCGGTTTCAGGATCGCAGGTCGGTTCAGGTCTGTGAGTCACAGTTTCAGGGTCTGCAGTCGGTTCAGGGTCTGTAGTCAGTTTCAGGGTCTGCAGTCAGAGTCAGGGTCTGCAGTCAGTTTCAGGGTCTGCAGTCAGAGTCAGGGTCTGTAGTCAGTTTCAGGGTCTGCAGTCAGTTTCAGGGTCTGTAGTCAGTTTCAGGGTCTGTAGTCAGATTCAGGGACTGTAGTCACAGTTTCAGGGTCTGCAGTCACAGTTTCAGGGTCTGAAGTCAGTTTCAGGGTCTGCAGTCAGTTTCAGGGTCTGAAGTCAGTTTCAGGGTCTGCAGTCATAGTTTCAGGGTCTGCAGTCAGTTTCAGGGTCTGCAGTCACAGTTTCAGGGTCTGTAGTCACAGTTTCAGGGTCTATAGTCACAGTTTCAGGGTCTATAGTCACAGTTTCAGGGTCTGTAGTCAGTTTCAGGATCTTTTGTAACAGTTTCAGGGTCTTTTGTAACAGTTTCAGGGTCTGCAGTCACAGTTTCAGGGTCTGTAGTCAGTTTCAGGGTCTGCAGTCACAGTTTCGGGGTCTGCAGTCACAGTTTCAGGGTCTGCAGTCAGTTTCAGGGTCTGTAGTCAGTTTCAGGGTCTGCAGTCACAGTTTCAGGGTCTGTAGTCACAGTTTCAGGGTCTGAAGTCAGTTTCAGGGTCTGCAGTCACAGTTTCAGGGTCTGCAGTCACAGTTTCAGGGTCTGTAGTCACAGTTTCAGGATCTGAAGTCAGTTTCAGGGTCTGCAGTCAGTTTCAGGGTCCGTAGTCACAGTTTCAGGGTCTTTTGTAACAGTTTCAGGGTCTGCAGTCACAGTTTTAGGGTCTGTAGTTACAGTTTCAGGGTCTTTTGTAACAGTTTCAGGGTCTGCAGTCACAGTTTCAGGGTCTGTAGTCAGTTTCAGGGTCTGTAGTCAGTTTCATGTTCTGCAGTCACAGTTTTAGGGTCCGTAGTCACAGTTTCAGGGTCTGCAGTCACAGTTTCAGGGTCTTTTGTAACAGTTTCAGGGTCTGTAGTCACAGTTTCAGGGTCTGCAGTCAGTTTCAGGGTCTGTAGTCAGTTTCAGGGTCTGCAGTCAATTTCAGGGTCTGTAGTCACAGTTTCAGGGTCTGTAGTCAGTTTCAGGGTCTGCTGTCAGTTTCAGGGTCTGTAGTCAGATTCAGGGTCTGCAGTCACAGTTTCAGGGTCTGTAGTCAGTTTCAGGGTCTGCAGTCAGTTTCAGGGTCTATAGTCACAGTTTCAGGGTCTGCAGTCAGTTTCAGGGTCTGTAGTCAGTTTCAGGGTCTGCAGTCAGTTTCAGGGTCTGCAGTCAGTTTCAGGATCTGCAGTCAGTTTCAGGGTCTGTAGTCACAGTTTCAGGGTCTGCAGTCAGTTTCAGGGTCTGTAGTCAGTTTCAGGGTCTGCAGTCAGTTTCAGGGTCTGCAGTCAGTTTCAGGGTCTGTAGTCACAGTTTCAGGGTCTGCAGTCAGTTTCAGGGTCTGTAGTCAGTTTCAGGGTCTGTAGTCAGATTCAGGGACTGTAGTCACAGTTTCAGGGTTTGTAGTCAGTTTCAGGGTCTGTAGTCAGTTTCAATAGTCACAGCTTAACTATTTCAGCACTAATTTTTACAAAAATTCTCTTTTAATAGACCCTATTTTTATCCCAGCTGATTTGCCCAGTTCTGTGAGATTTTATCCCTATCAATCCTAAATTATTGGTTAAATTCCCAGTAATTAATTCCCATTGCAGCATCACACAGCCCGCAGTACCGCGAGCGGCCACCAGAGGGGGCGTGCTGAGCTGCAGTGACAGTTGGGCTGGTTTGTTGTGTTGGGTTTTCAGATCTCCAGGGAATCCATGAGACAGAGAGAGACAGAGAGAGACAGACAGACAACAGAGACAGACACAGCATGCCCTTCATGCAACCTTATAGGAATCAGGAGAGTCTGATCACAGCCTCAGTGTGTGAGATTCTGGCTGCACCAAGGGGCATGTAACCTGCTAGCCAACCAGCTATCCAGCTAGCCACCCACCCACCTAACCAGCCATCCAGCTAGCCACCCACCTAGCCAGCCATCCAGCTAGCCGGCCTAATACCAGCCTCAGTGTGTGAGATCCTGGCTGCAGCTGGGGGCATGTGACATGCCCTGCTAGCCACTTAACCATCCTGCTAGCCACTCAGCCAGCTTACCGTCAGCCCCAGTGTGTGGGATCCTAGCTGTACCAAGGGACATGTAACCTGCTAGCCACCCATCCTCCTAGCTAGCCTTCCTTGTATCAGCCTTAGTGTGTGGGATCCTGGCTGTACCAAGGGACATGTAACGTGCCCAGCTAGCCAACCAGCTAGCCATCCTGGATATCCAGCCATGAAAGACGGGGGGGAATCCAAAGACCAGCAGCTCACGGTAAGTGCACAGGATCTCCTTGTTATATTATAATATTACAGTATAAAATATTCTGTGCATATTATAGTAACATTGTTGCACATGTATATTAATATTATTATTACTTTATTGTTATATTGTCATCATGTTAGTAAACTTTTTCTGATTATCATGTTTGATTCCAGTAATATTATTATTATTATTAACAACATTATATTATTCTTACTTTTTAATATAATAAATTTACATTTATTAATATTTATTATTATTTCATCTTAATCTTATTCCTGAAATTATTATTTTTATGCATTTTACAATAATTAAACCTGATTAAAATGATTATATTTATTCCTTCCCCGCTACTAGGGTTAAATTAATTCAATGTGCACATATTGGCTCAGTGTTTGTAAACTTTGGGGACATTAGCCATCCTTATTATATCTTTACTGTATTCCACATTTTACAGGTTTACAAATCTGTCTGTATAAAGACTTATTATGGTGCCCTGACCCCTTCTATAATCCCCCAATATTAATAAATCTCTGTGAGCAGTTTGCTGGCCCCTGGCAGGGCGCAGGTTAATATTCAGTGATTTTAGTTTGTGTTGGGGACATTGTTTGACAAGTGTTCTGTTCACACTGCACTGCACAGTAATTGTATGTTTGTGCTTTGTAATCCATCGCTGGGGGTCCCTACTGAAGGATTAAGACAGACTAATTGTGGCCTGCAATTAATTGTTATTAAGATAGCTTTCGGATTAACCCTCTCCTCCCCCACAGAGAGAATCACTGAAGTACCACACTGTTTGGTGAATTGTAGGTTTTCATTTTTTCACAGATTGCACTTTGGAAGCAGTCGTATTTGCTGGTACACTTTGTATTCTGGGCTGGATTGATATTTCGAGCCCTGTAGGCACACAATTTGTAGATGCCCCTCTACCCCTTCCTTAAACCCTTAAGGACCAAACTTCTGGAATAAAAGGGAATCATGACATGTCACGTGTCCTTAAGGGTTAAAACTCCTGTACCTTATTGTGTGTTCCATGATTCGGCGCTTACCCACCCGCCACAAATAAACAATGCATCTAATATGTAATAGAATGAATTATTGTAATAAAATAAATCTGCATTCATGGGAGGGGTACCTATAGGCAGCGACCTACCTTGCCTGGCGGTAAATCTGTCCCTGTTTGTACACCTTGCACCTTTATGCATATAATTAATCCTTACGGTATTTCTTAGACCTGTGCACTAGTTCCGTTCAGCTGCGTTGAACGAATTAAATGCCTCTCAACCTATGGACGAACACAACGATTCCTCCATCCATACACTGACAGGCGTATGATTCGTTCAACGCCGCTGATAGGAATTGTGCAAAGTCTAGTATTTATACACCAATGATGTGTATGGTATGTGACATTCAGGTGCCCTGTTTATTAAATCCCTTGGTAGTTATCTTACTAAAATCATTAATAAATAAAGGGAATTAACACAGTAAAGGAGGAGAGTATATTTAATAGAAGAAAAACTACCACAGCAAGAAGACATAGTCTTAAATTAGAGGGACAAAGGCTTAAAAAGAATATCAGGAAGTATTACTTTACTGAGAGGGTAGTGGATGCCTGGAATAGCCTTCCAGCTGAAGTGGTAGAGGTTAACACAGTAAAGGAGTTTAAGTATGCGTGGGATATGCATAAGGCTATCCTAACTATAAGATAAGGCCAGGGACTAATGAAAGTATTTAGAAAATTGGGCAGACTAGATGGGCCGAATGGTTCTTATCTGCCATCACATTCTATGTTTCTATGTTTAATACGCTCAGATAATTATCATCAGATAATTATTAAAGAGGGCCGGTCAATTCAGACTTAACAGGATGTTCTAACTGTTAACCAAAAACAAATAGTTAGTTATACGTTTATATAAGGCGGTGGGACTTTTCTTTAAATGCAAACTATTGCTGGCACAGCCTGGCATCTAATGCAAATTTAAAATGTGCCTTGTTTACTGCAAACAGCTCATTACTGTACAATGTGTGCAGCAGTCACAGGAAGATTTTATTTCAGATTAACCCCTTAAGGACACATGACATGTGTGACATGTCATGATTCCCTTTTATTCCAGAACCTTGGTTAATCTATTATTTACTTATTATATGTGTTATTATTCATTTTATTAAGTCTGTTATAATAAACTAAATTCTCCTTGGGGGAGGGGGGGGGGTGATATTTGGTGGAGTTTGACCCAACCTTTGTGCTCACACTTCCCCCGAGGTTCCATATGGTGAAATAACTACTCCGTGGACTGTTAATCCTGACTGTCTGTGTTTTATTATGTGAGGTTACAGTTTAATCAGCATTGGGAAGTGTAACGAGCAGTGCCCCGGTGTACACTAATACAGGGCCAAACACAGTATATCTCCCAGTCCGCCATTTAGATCCCTACCCGCCTGTGCTTCTATTTAAATTTGCTCATTATCTGTTCTTGAGAATAATCATGAAAATAATGTACAATTTGTTATCATTGCAGTAAATACAAATTGTACATTTGTACCTAATATTTTTTACTTTTTAAAAAACATTTTATTATAATTTTCCAAAAACTTAAGATTAAAAAGTTAATTACAGTCCGTTGACTATAAACAAATATTGGCACGCCTAGTTATTCAATAAATATTTGCTTCTTGTTAAAGAAAGAGGTGTCCAGCCTTTGCGAGTGTATGTGTAACTGTGTCTTCCTGTTTCCCACACAGGTCGCTCTCCGTGTCCGGCCTATCAATGAGACCGAACTGGTGGAAGGGGCAACTATCATTGCCCACAAAGTGAATGAGCAGGTACTGTCTGCAATGTAACCATTCCGATGTTAAAGGCACTCTCCGGGATAGTATGACACCCCCTTTTTTGTGTGTATGTTTTACTGTTTCATGTTAACTTTACTGAAAAATTATTCTTTATCTTACTACAAAATGTCAATTGCTTTTTTGATTAGCAGCTCCTTGGCTGCTAGTGTGTCATTTCTGGTTGATATCCAATCATTACTTTAGAGCTGAGCAGGGCAGTGCAGTGAGCCAGTAAGTCACTGTTCCATGAAAGCTGAAATTCTTTGGGGGTCTGGAGTGTTGTGTCTTTAATATCGTTATGGTATTTTATCAGTATTTACCGTAGGGTTTGGCATGTTGCATAGCTGTGTTTAATTCCTCCATATTTCCATGTAGCTCTGTATGTTATTATATGTTTTAGTTTGGAATGTGATATCGCTCAGTGTGTTGTGATTCAGTCCCGTCTTGTTATATAATTCTGCGTTATATTATGACTTGGTTTCAGTTCCATAAACTTCTGTGAGACATTATGTAACTCTCTGTGTTCTCAAACAGTCCTGTATGACAGCGAATTATATTGTTCTCTATTTTGTCTTATGACACGTGATACCTTATTACCCTTTGTATTCTATCCGTCCTGTGTATTGGTTTAGTTATAATGTTACCCTGTGACTGCAATGCTCCATATTTCTGTGTATGGCTGTATAATAAATATATTATTCTGCATAAATGATTATATTATGACTGTGTGTTTGTATAATGCTGCTCTCCTCATATTACATCACCGTTAATCAGATGCAGACTCCTTTTATAAAGCATTGTGTGAGATTTTATCCGTCTGCTCGTTATCTATATAACATTAGCACCCTGCGTGATACAACGCTCTAGTTAGTTTTCCTTCTGCGGGTTACAAAGTTCACGTTAATTCTGTCGGCTGCTCATTAGCGCTAAGTGGATAATTCCTGTGTTTGATAGGTGCGTTCTGTATGTATAATGTAAACAGCAGACGTGTGTCTAAGTATCTGCGCTATTAATAGTGTCGGACCTTGGACTTATCCTGTCATTGGCGGCCATGTTTCTATGAACACGTTAATTATCTCGATGCTGAAAATGTCAGAGGTAGTTAATATACGTCTTCCATGGGTCGTATCGCTGGATTAAGTCACCACAACACAGACGAACATGTAATATATTGTAAGGCACTGTACGCCAAACACCGAAAGGTCATAGGTCAAGCGAATTCAGTACCATAGCACTGAGAGAGGTAAAAGCTCTGTGGAGCGTCTATTCTGCTGATCCATGATGGAAATACATCTGATCAGTGATAAAAATACCACTCTCCCACCATTGTGTACCATGTGATATGTATAACATTTAAGGCAGCTTAGTGCTAAATGATAAGCTTTGTCTTATACCCCCATGTAGGTTAAATAGGTAATTGCACAGGTTGGAAAAATGATTCATCTTCATCAAATTAAATCTGTCACAAACCCCCATTGTGGATATTTATCCAAAAATAAGACCCAGGCGACCAGGTTAAAGTGACTTTTTTTCCTAATTCCATCTGGGGTCTGGAATGCTAATCGGATTTTCTCTCCGGATCAATAAGTTGTTGTTAACAGGATTCCAGTGATATTTTACAGCCATGTTCATCTCAATCAGCCCTTGATGTAACGGCACTGGGTGAATGTAACAGAATAACCTCCCTGGGCAGAGAATTACCTACCTTCATACTGTGGGTGTGCCAGGTGGTGTCCGAGCTCTGTGGGATAAATAACACTTAGAATGTCGCCATAATCACACACCTATTCCTCCATACATTTCTGGGCAGGGGGACGTGACACTAGGGGCCTCAAGCATTACAGAGCTTGTCGCCTCTACAAATCTAACACAACCAATACAGTACCAGGCCAGGTTGGCGTCTTCTTTCCCAGCAAACCCATAGCTGTCCAACGGCAGCAGGGCGCAGTCAGTCTGCCACCCGTCCCTGCTGTTACTAATATAAACTAAAGTGCTTCCCAGAATCTGACTTATTGGTGTCCTGCCACGGAAATATAGGATAAACGTTCACTACAATGAACCAACGGATATTTTTCTTTTTTTAGATGCTCTATTTATTTTTATATTTCAAGGGAACCTTTAGGCACCATAACAACTTAATCAGGATAGAGTTATTTTAGTGCCAGGAGGTCCTTGGCTTTGATTTGCTAATATCAATTTATAGAACTAAAATGGAATTTAGAAGAACAATCTATCTTATTTACACAGATTGATTTGTAAACAATTATTTTAGTTTAAAGACACATTACTGGGAGTATTATTACTGTGGATCTCTGTTATACACTCAGACACATTACTGGGAGTATTATTGCTGTGGAGCTCTGTTATACATAGACACATTACTGGGAGTATTGTTGCTGTGGAGCTCTGTTATACACTCAGACACATTACTGGGAGTATTATTGCTGTGGAGCTCTGTTATACACTCAGACACATTACTGGGAGTATTATTGCTGTGGAGCTCTGTCATACACTCAGACACATTACTGGGAGTATTATTGCTGTGGAGCTCTGTTATACACTCAGACACATTACTGGGAGTATTATTGCTGTGGAGCTCTGTTATACACTTCAGACACATTACTGGGAGTATTATTGCTGTGGAGCTCTGTTATACACTTGGTCACATTACTGGGAGTATTATTGCTGTGGAGCTCTGTTATACACTCAGACACATTACTGGGAGTATTATTGCTGTGGAGCTCTGTTATACACTCAGACACATTACTGGGAGTATTATTGCTGTGGAGCTCTGTTATACACTCAGACACATTACTGGGAGTATTATTGCTGTGGAGCTCTGTTATACACTCAGACACATTACTGGGAGTATTATTGCTGTGGAGCTCTGTTATACACTTGTCACATTACTGGGAGTATTATTGCTGTGGAGCTCTGTTATACACTCAGACACATTGCTGGGAGTATTATTACTGTGGAGCTCTGTTATACACTCAGACACATTACTGGGAGTATTATTGCTGTGGAGCTCTGTTATACACTCAGACACATTACTGGGAGTATTATTGCTGTGGAGCTCTGTTATACACTCAGACACATTACTGGGAGTATTATTGCTGTGGAGCTCTGTTATACACTCAGACACATTACTGGGAGTATTATTGCTGTGGAGCTCTGTTATACACTCAGACACATTACTGGGAGTATTATTGCTGTGGAGCTCTGTTATACACTTGGTCACATTACTGGGAGTATTATTGCTGTGGAGCTCTGTTATACACTAAGACACATTACTGGGAGTATTATTGCTGTGGAGCTCTGTTATACACTCAGACACATTACTGGGAGTATTATTGCTGTGGAGCTCTGTTGAACTTTATTACTAGAATCTTGTGCTGTGAACTCTGTCATACCTCAGACATTACTGTGTTACTGTGGAACTCTGTTGCTTACATAGGAACACATTACTGGGAGTATTGTTATGTGGGCTCTGTTATACACTCGAACTTATACATTACTGGGAGTATTATTGCTGTGGGCTCTGTTGTACAGTCAGACACATCACTGGGAGTATTATTGCTGTGGAGCTCTGTTATACACTCAGACACATTACTGGGAGTATTATTACTGTGGAGCTCTGTTATACACTCAGACACATTACTGGGGTATTATTACTGTGGAGCTCTGTTATACACTCAGACACATTACTGGGAGTATTATTGATTGGCTGGTCCTGTTACCTTTCGGTCACATTACTGGGAGTATTATTGCTGTGGAGCTCTGTTATACACTAAGACACATTACTGGGAGTATTATTGCTGTGGACTCTGTTATACACTCAGACACATTACTGGGAGTATTATTGCTGTGGACTCTGTTATACACTCAGACACATTACTGGGAGTATTATTGCTGTGGACTCTGTTATACACTCAGACACATTACTGGGAGTATTGCTGTGCGTTATACTCGGACACATTACTGGGGTATTATTGCTGTGGACTCTGTTATACAGTCAGACACATTCTGGGAGTATTATTACTGTGGAACTCTGTTACTACCTCTTGAATTTACATTAGGGAGTGTTATTGCTGTGGGCTCTGATGCACTCAGACATTACTGGAATTGTGTGCTGTGGGCTCTGTTATACACTCGAATTTGTGCAGGGTATTATTACTGTGGGGCTCTGATTGTTATACACTCAGACACATTACTGGGAGTATTATTGCTGTGGAGCTCTGTTATACACTCAGACACATTACTGGGAGTATTATTACTGTGGAGCTCTGTTATACACTCAGACACACCAACAATATGGATCTCCTAGAAAAGAGGGACATTAGGAGAGACAAGAGGGACAGAAGGGATTTGGGTCCAAAATATGGACTGTCCTTGCTAAATAGGGACACTTGGGAAGTATGTCTCTACACAATATGTATGTGTTTGATATAAGGGATAAGTAAAGATAATATGAAACCCTGGAAAGTATCAGTTTTCCTTTAAGTGCTAGGACTGTAACAATTAATCCATTTGTAATCAATGTGTGTATTGGGACTTTGCTGTTAATTAGAGAAGGGAAGTACTGTACTGAAAAGAGACATTTCTTTGCAGACTCAGAGGATTAAGTGACACCTCCCTAGACAGGTAATCTGGTCCATTAAAACGGATCACAAAGAGTTAGACGGGAGAAGCAAGGTACAAGGAGACAGATTAAGGGACAGACAGAAGCCCAGATGGCATTTGATACATTGCATCAGTGGCTGACTCAGTCCTGGATTCTGGAGGACAGAGTTTCCATGGTAACAGCCCGACACACAGGAGCCAGCTGGGAGATAGGGGTTTAATTGGATTAAATGATAGGGGTGTTCATTGCACAGAGCACATACCTGCACCCAGCCTCCCCCAAATCTGGCACGAGACCAGATATAGCGTGTGTACAGCCAGCTGGGAATAAAACTGCTGATTGTCTGAAATTTCAAGTGAATTTCAAATCTTTTCCCAAAATATCCTTATGGAAAATATATCTCACTTTATCCACAATTCACCGTTTACCGAATAACCCCGTCCGTGTTTACAGGATCTTTGCCAACTCACTAAAATGAGATTTGTCTGGAATTCAAAGTGAATTTCAAATTACAATATTTTATATTCACTGCACGAATAAAGTATCTGATTCCGCCTCTTTTCAAAAAAGAACAATGTGGTGATAATACTGTCTCTTTAAAATATAACTTTTATTGTAATTTATTGAAAAACTATTCGAATTTATATACACGTATAAATAACAATAAGCTGATCTGTGTATATAAATTCAAATTGGTTTATAATAAAAGTTATATCACCGCATCATTCTTATATCCTCGATTTAAGGGCTCGAACCCCTTGACCATGTGGTTGGCCTCTTTAAATTGTCACATATTTAGTGTTAGACAAGAAATCGCACGCTTCTTTTCAAACTTTGCATTTCACTTTTATCATTTCATTGACTGATCGCCTGTATGGCCCCCTAACGCAGGGCAGTCCACACTTATACAGCTAAGCGCAAGTGCGTTTTATGATGTGCTTGCGCAGAGCTGACACCCAGGAACTAACATATGATGGCGACACAGAATCTCGAATTCGGGATTGGGTCACTGAACCCCGGACAGTTGGGAGATAATTTGTCTCTCTCCAGATATCTGAGTATGAAATTTCCCGTGCCTTGTTGATTTCCCGAAATGTTAAATCATTGTTTATTTTAAAGCGTTAAATGATGGGAAGGATATTTAAAGGATTAAAGGGTCAATCTAAGCACCATAACAACTTTGCGACAAGATGAGAGCCTCCCGATTGGTGGAGTCTCTTACTGGCCTTATGCAGTATTAGGATATTAACGTTTTATTCTTTAATTATCAGTTATTTTATTTTTAATGGATTGTGTATAACAGTGAGTGTAGTGAGATTCGATGTTCTACGGGTTGCCTATTATATTCTATTTAGTTATTCTTCATTAGACAGGGCTGTCCTACATTACAATAATGAAATGAAGTCTGTCTGGGATTATATATCCGGAGCAGCACTCCCTGCTGTCAGCGTTGGCACGCTCTGATGGCCTTTGATAGAGACTCAGCATATGGCAGGTGAGAAGTCTTTAAGGTGCAGCAACCTGGAGAGGAGTACCCCGAAACCCCCTCCTAGACACCGATCAAATACACTCTGCTTCACAAATTGCCATCTCTTTCATTACAATGAAATTATATCCAAGGAGAACTATAACAGGGCTTAAAGGGACACTGTAGTCACTATAACTATTTTTCTGTCCCTCCATTCGGTGTTAAAACTTTTTAATTTCATTGAAGTGGTTATAGTGCCTGAAGTCCCCTGGCGCTGTCCCTCCATTCAGTGTTAAACCATTCCATCTCATTAAAGTGGTTATAGTGCCTGGAGTCCCCTGGCGCTGTCTCTCCATTGAAGTGGTTATAGTGCCAGGAGGCCCCTGGCGCTGTCCCTCCATTGAGTGGTTATAGTGCCAGGAGTCCCTTGGCGCTGTCTCTCCATTGAAGTGGTTATAGTGCCAGGAGGCCCTTGCGCTGTCCCTCCATTCAGTGTTAAACCATTCCATTTCATTGAAGTGGTTATAGTGCCTGGAGTCCCCTGGCGCTGTCCCTCCATTGAGTGGTTATAGTGCCAGGAGGCCCTTGCGCTGTCCCTCCATTCAGTGTTAAACCATTCCATTTCATTGAAGTGGTTATAGTGCCTGGAGTCCCTTGGCGCTGTCTCTCCATTGAAGTGGTTATAGTGAGAGGAGGCCATTGCGCTGTCCTTCCATTCAGTGTTAAACCATTCCATTTCATTGAAGTGGTTATTGTGCCTGGAGTCCCCTGGCGCAGTCCCTCCATTGAGTGGTTATAGTGCCAGGAGGCCCTTGCGTTGTCCCTCCATTCAGTGTTAAACCATTCCATTTCATTGAAGTGGTTATAGTGCCTGGAGGCCATTGCACTGTCCTTCCATTCAGTGTTAAACCATTCCATTTCATTGAAGTGGTTATTGTGCCTGGAGTCCCCTGGCGCTGTCCCTCCATTGAGTGGTTATAGTGCCAGGAGGCCCTTGCGCTATCCTTCCATTCAGTGTTAAACCATTCCATTTCATTGAAGTGGTTATAGTGCCTGGAGTCCCCTGGCGCTGTCCCTCCATTCAGTGTTAAACCATTCCATTTCATTGAAGTGGTTATAGTGCCTGGAGTCCCCTGGCGCTGTCCCTCCATTGAGTGGTTATAGTGCCAGGAGGCCTTTGCGCTGTCCCTCCATTCAGTGTTAAACCATTCCATTTCATTGAAGTGGTTATAGTGCCTGGAGTCCCTTGGCGCTGTCTCTCCATTGAAGTGGTTATAGTACCAGGAGGCCCTTGCGCTGTCCTTCCATTCAGTGTTAAACCATTCCATTTCATTGAAGTGGTTATAGTGCCTGGAGTCCCCTGGCGCTGTCCCTCCATTGAGTGGTTATAGTGCCAGGAGGCCCTTGCGCTGTCCCTCCATTCAGTGTTAAACCATTCCATTTCATTGAAGTGGTTATAGTGCCTGGAGTCCCCTGGCGCTGTCCTTACATTGAGTGGTTATAGTGCCAGGAGGCCCTTGTGCTGTCCCTCCATTCAGTGTTAAACCACTCCATTTCATTGAAGTGGTTATAGTGCCTGGAGTCCCCTGGCGCTGTCCCTCCATTCAGTGTTAAACCATTCCATTTCATTGAAGTGGTTATAGTGCCTGGAGTCCCCTGGCGCTGTCTCTCCATTGAAGTGGTTATAGTGCCAGGAGGCCCTTGCGCTGTCCTTCCATTCAGTGTTAAACCATTCCATTTCATTGAAGTGGTTATAGTACCTGAAGTCCCCTGGCGCTGTCCCTCCATTGAGTGGTTATAGTGCCAGGAGGCCCTTGCACTGTCCCTCCATTCAGTGTTAAACCATTCCATTTCATTGAAGTGGTTATAGTGCCTGGAGTCCCTTGGCGCTGTCTCTCCATTGAAGTGGTTATAGTGCCAGGAGGCCATTGCGCTGTCCTTCCATTCAGTGTTAAACCATTCCATTTCATTGAAGTGGTTATAGTGCCTGGAGTCCCCTGGCGCTGTCCCTCCATTGAGTGGTTATAGAGCCAGGAGGCCCTTGCGCTGTCCCTCCATTCAGTGTTAAACCATTCCATTTCATTGAAGTGGTTATAGTGCCTGGAGTCCCTTGGCGCTGTCTCTCCATTGAAGTGGTTATAGTGCCAGGAGGCCCTTGCGCTGTCCTTCCATTCAGTGTTAAACCATTCCATTTCATTGAAGTGGTTATAGTGCCTGGAGTCCCCTGGCGCTGTCCCTCCATTGAGTGGTTATAGTGCCAGGAGGCCCTTGCGCTGTCCCTCCATTCAGTGTTAAACCATTCCATTTCATTGAAGTGGTTATAGTGCCTGGAGTCCCTTGGTGCTGTCCCTCCATTGAGTGGTTATAGTGCCAGGAGGCCCTTGCGCTGTCCCTCCATTCAGTGTTAAACCATTCCATTTCATTGAAGTGGTTATAGTGCCTGGAGTCCCCTGGCGCTGTCCCTCCATTCAGTGTTAAACCATTCCATTTCATTGAAGTGGTTATAGTACCTGGATTCCCCTGGCGCTGTCCCTCCATTGAGTGGTTATAGTGCCAGGAGGCCCTTGCGCTGTCCCTCCATTCAGTGTTAAACCATTCCATTTCATTTAAGTGGTTATAGTGCCTGGAGTCCCCTGGCGCTGTCCGTCCATTGAGTGGTTATAGTGCCAGGAGGCCCTTGCGCTGTCCTTACATTCAGTGTTAAACCATTACATCAAATGGAAGTGGTTATAGTTCCTGAATGAGAGTACCTGGCTTCCATAGCTCTGCCCACACTGGAGGTGTGGGTATGGCAGAGATTACACACTTCCTTCTAGCCATACCAATTCATACCAGCAATGGGCGCTGTAATAGGCTGAAAGCGGTCAGCTGACACTCAGCCAATCACAGCTACCCATCTTTCCTTATTAATCCAAGACGCACAGAGGGGGAGCTGCTGGGGACTCTTGTTTAGCGTTGAAAAACATTAAAAGCAGTTTAACTGTGAATGGAGGGATGGCACCAGAGGAATCCAAACAGTATAACCACTTCTATTAGATGAAAGAGTTAAAGTGTCTCCAGTGAGCTCTCACCGCTAAGGGCCCACATTGAGTGCTTTATACACAGCTATGTGGATGCACCCCTTCCATGTCATTACATGGACTCTTAGATAAGGCTGACCCTAATTCATTATATTTGTACATTTATTAGCATTTAACTTTAAACCGTTTACATTTTGCATTTTATTTTTCTTTGCAAAAAGCAGCAGAGTTGAAATCTAATTTCTCTGAAAGCACATATTTAATTAGCTATGTGATTATTGAATTATCCTCACCTCCTACCACTCCCTCTGCAATTACTGTGCACTGCGAAGCAGGTCCAACCACGGGTATACTGTCATTATAGGACCGCTACCCCTCAGATCTGATATCTGTTCGATCAAGATATGACGGTCTGCTAAAATCGAGATCCATGCTCCCTGCAGCGCAGAGATTATATTTTATTTATTTTAATCAAGATGACAATCACATACATTACATGATTTATGGTAAGAATAATATTTGGTTTTGCTGTGATAACATATTTAGGACCATATTTTGTTCTGTAAGAGCTGCAATATAAATGTTATTAAAACATGGGAAGATTGCAGCTGAGCACGTACCAATCGCTGGGTCCATCAGATAATAACCCGATCTATTCATTGGAATTTGCCTGACAGAGACAGTGACATTTCTAACCCAGCTTAATGATTGGTGTTGAGTTAAATTCCCGACTTTGTTCCAGATCAGAAGCTGGATAATGCCACCTGTGGACTCCAGGAGAACGTTGCCATTGTCTGTGAGCCCGTCCCAGTCGTGGTAACATTACAGAGTCCGTCTGTTGGGGTTGGCATTCTATCTGGGACAGCGTTGGCATTTATGAGAGGTTCAGGAATTCAGCCTCTGCAATCTACCCACATGTCCTCGCAGAGACCTCTCAATAATATCCGGCTTCTTTCTTCGTTATCAAAACCCTTTGCCAAAATGTGGGAGTGCCTCGCTTGTCGCTCTCATCGCCAAACTGAATTTGTAAACGAAAGAGGGACTTAAAATTTTTTTCAAAATGGAAATCCCTCTTTGAACAGTGATCTACTTCTCCTAATGGTGGAAGAGAGAGATTTTACACTGATGATAAGTTGATGAGTGCGTTAGTCCTCACAGTGTTACTAATTCCACAATTAACACATCAATACCACACGTCATCAAGCAACGTTCGATGCGTTGAGCTGAAAACCCGGTTAGTATTCAAACCACAAAGATTTAATTTATGCAGAAATTATAAACTTATTGTATGAGTCGCTCAATGACCTTTTGATGCCAATAGGAGGTGGCTCCCAGTCCACGGTCTTTGTGATTTCCCCCCCCCCCCATATAAATGGGAGATTGCCAGAACCACACACCAGGAACTTTATTTTTGAAGTATAAACTTATCAAGGCAAGGTTTTTTTTAACCCAGATTTACCTAGTTCTTTTTACTGCAATATAAATAATTAGCCCATTTTAAAATATTAATGAAAATACTGAGATTTTTCTCCTTTTATTGTCACAATTTTGAAAAAGTAACCATATGCTCATACGAATCCCACCTACTTCAAAATCTTGGAACGGATGCTTTGCCCGTATCATGTCTTTTACTGTCCGTCAGGGTTATTCAATAAAGTGAGAATTCAAAATGACTTTTAAATTTAAGGTGAAAATTGCCCGACTGGAGAACCTCTATACGTCAGCTGGGCTTTCTAATATATCAAATTCATATTGAATTCCCACTATAGTAATAACTCTGTATGTGTATGACAGAGAGCGCTAACTATTATTATACTGATATTAAATTATTAAATGTGACAAACCATTACACAGTTTGACAGGAATGATAGGTTGATGAGTACACAGCTCGTAAGAGCTTACAATCTAGAGCTGTTTGGGTGTAAACACACAGGGCAGAGTGGGGGATCGGAACCAAGTGACAGGGTGGGAAAGTAACTCTACGGGTTTAGAACATTTCGGAAACCAAGCAAACCTTTTCAGGAAACGTGTTTCGTTTTTCTTTTTAATCATTTGTATAGCGCCAACCTATTCCGCAGCGTTTTTTAATTGTAGAATTGTGAATTTAGAGGTGAAGGAGACCCTGCTTTTACAAAGCTAGTGAAGAGATGTATTTATTTATTTCAAAATAAAACTCTAAAAAAGTTGGGTGAAGACTCTCGATTTCTTAGTTACGATAACCAGAATTGGGGCTGTGTCCTGGCCCAGAGAACGTTCTATTTGAAGGATTCTTGCTGATCAGTATGTGTCGCGGCTAAGTCTGTTTACATCACTGTTTGACCTTTTAATTTTATTATAGAGGATGATCTGTGAGATTTCAGCTCAGCTAAACAGGATTGAGTGTGAGTCTCCGCTCCTGATGTGTTTGAAATCTCTCTTCTTACAGATGGTGGTTCTTATGGACCCGATGGAGGACCCCGATGACATCCTGAGAGCCAATCGTTCCCGAGAGAAGTCCTATGTGTTCGATGTGGCGTTTGATTACACTGCGACGCAGGTACAATGCTATTATGGGAGGTTTTAAACCTCCAACATATTCCTCGTTGTTATACAATGGGTAAATAAAACCGTTAAAAAAACAATGACAAGCACGATAAACGAGAGGTGGGGGAACACTGCGGAAACCTTTATAACCCTCCGTCTGGAATTGATAGAACAGGTATCCAGGTTTACATCACTGAATCCGGGAAAATACCCCAATATCACTACAGGCTCCCACGTGTTTGGGGCAAAAAGTAGGGTTTCTGTTTTCTATAATTATTTTGTTCTCTAAGCCCACCTGTTCTGCCCTAACCCCCGCCCCCCACCTTGCTGTGTTTCCATTTTGTCTCCAATAATAACAATGCTGCACGTGATGTCATGAATCCGCACTGATACCTCCAGCACCTTGCTCCCCCCTAAATCACTGCTTAAATGAGCAGCTTAACTGGGTGAGGAATCATTTCCTCATTTAGTAAAAAATGCCCACTGCTGAAGCGGCAAAAACTGGAGATTTTCATCAAATTCAGGAAACATCAAATATATCCATTCTTTTTATTTTAAATTCATTGTTTTTGCATACAGTATAGATTCTAGAGGATTACAGTAGATTCTAATGGTTTAGTGCATTAATATTAGAATTGCTATTAATAAACTGCTATAAATACCCTGACGATCTGTGAATTTTATTTATAAATCAATCAATAAATAATTTGCAGTGTACAAAATATTTAAAGGGACACCCCACTACCCAAATAAAAATACTGTTTAGAAGATATACTCAAATAGAAACTTGCATGCATTTAATTATGTATTTTTTCACTCAGTGTATATTTAAAAACCGCATGCAGAAGCTTCAGATCTCTTGTCTGCAGCATTTGCAATCTCTCCCCTTCTAACCCCGCCCAGACTTTCTGTGTCTGTCCAATCACAGACTTCCCAATGCAGCTCAATGACACGTCTTTACAAGGCAGGTGCTCTGGGCAATTGCTGCCTCTTTAATTTATCTACAGTGAGATTAGCTAACCAGGAAGTAACAGGAGCAGGTGTCTGGGGAGTGTAACCAGGTTAATTTATAAACATGCCAATTTCCAGTGAAATTTGTACTTTAGTAAAATACAAAAAGGGAACATACTCGTAAAACATACAGCTATTCAGCAAGCGAAACTGCTTTATTGGTCTGGAGTGTCCCTTTAAATTGTCATGTGAATAAAGTCATGACTACGAAAATGTTGCCAGTCTTATAAAATCTGGTGAAAGGGATAATGCAGGTATGCTCTGATAAAAAGCTGCACAGAATGACCCAACGTCTAAATAAAAGGAAATATATAAATAATTAAACAAGTTCCAAATTCTAGAACTCCCTTAAAGGGTTACGCCAACCACCATAACCAGTTCTGCTTTTTGAAGTTGTGATGGTGGTAGGAGTCAGATTCATTACCACTCGTGTGCTGGGGACAGGTTATCCCCTCCCCCGCCCCCCCTAGCACATGTGACTTAGGTGTCCTGAAACTCTTATATGTTCTGCACTGCCTACTGTCAGTACGGTGCCATAAAATACGCCTATCGGCAGCGTGCACGTAACTGCTTATTCCTTGCAGACAGAGCCTGCAATTTTTTTTAAAGTACCCGCCCTCCCCACGTTATCTCACTTTCCCCCTCCATTTCCCGGCTCATAGGATGTGCATGCGCCATTAGCCAGTTATATGGTCCAATGAAAGGCTTTGTCCTGTAGAATGTAAGCTCGATTGAGCAGGGTCCTCTTCAACCTATTGTTCCTGTAAGTTTATTTGTAATTGTCCTATTTATAGTTAAATCCCCTCTCATAATATTGTAAAGCGCTACGGAATCTGTTGGCGCTATATAAATGGCAATAATAATAATAATAATAATTTTAGCCTCAACGCGGCTCCCATGATGTCAGACAGGCTCTGGGTTAAGGTAAGTAAACTTAATTAGAAAAGCACGTTGAGCGTTTTTGTAATTGGGAACTGATAGAATATTGCCAATATGGCATTATTCTATCATCAGTGGGGAAGGGCTGGAGAAACCCTTTAATACAGTGTGTCATTTAATTAACACTCCGTACAGTTACAATCCATAATATGTCTGTTTGCATGTTCTGTCCGTGTTCTACTCCGCGTAGCGTGCTCAATACTGAGACATAATACAGAGTGCTCAGCTGCTATATACGCGTCTCCTGGGTGGCAGCAACATGAAAGCACAATATTTTCCAGGAATCTGTGTCTCTGATGATCACTCCCTGGTGCAGTCCTCGCTAATTATATTTAACACTTTGGTGGCAAAGTAGAAACTTAAAGAAATTAGCGTTTATTACGAGGCAGCGCCCGGGTGATAGTGGGTCAAAATGTAGCTTTAAAAAAAATGAGTGAATTAATATTAATTGGATTTGCCGACGTGAGTGTCAATTTAATATTGTTGGGTACGCTTTTCAAATGATTTAATATTTTCGGGAAAACCTTTAAAATGATTTCCTCAAAATATTACAAAAAATTTATTTTTTTCATAATATGAAATAATTTCATAATAAGTTTATCCAAAAACCTAAATCATTTGGAAATCTTACCCAGCAATATAAGATGGAGGCCTCGGATGGAGGATTAGGGGTGACTATAGTTTGTCTGCATACAGAGAGTTAATTGGAGCCATATGAGTTCGAGTTTGCAAAGAGTTGGGCTCCGAAGGCCGAGTCCTGAGGGAACAGAGTTGCAAGTTGCAATGAGGTTTCACCTAGGAATGAGACACAACAGATGTGGTTCGATATTGTTAAACAAAGAGATCGCTGTAATTCAGGGTCCCTGTAAAGGGGGTCGTAGAGAGAGGTGTGTTGTAAACGGTATCACGGGTGGTGGAAGCGTTGGTTCATGGTAGAATACTGGAACCGTGAGATGTTGAGCTTTTGGTAAGAGGAATCACTAGCCAGTGATATTTGTATTGAAGGCGTGGAATGGAATCAGATTATCTGAAGATCCAACATGGTCCGTTCACGGTGATAGAATCACTGGGAGATGAAGCAATCTTGGTGTGAGGACCTAGACGAGTAGTTTTTATTTTTTTTATTCTTTAAGTTTGGCATTTAAATACATTACAAGATTTTTTCCAAATAAGATTAGAATACACAGAATATTTATGTAGAAAGGTAAAACGGTTAAGAAAAAACAAGATGAATGATAAGAGACAATGGTTTTGTGTACCTATGGCGGCGGTTATGGACCTCAAATACCACAACGCCTAGCCAGTTAATCTGTTCACAGTATTTAGGATTCCCAATCTTTAGCGGCTCCATTGGCTACTATTCGCTGGCTGAGCATTATGAGAGTTACAAATCTTGCTTTTTACAGTAAATCCTGCTGAGCTGTCAGCCTGAGCTCCCAGAGAGCTGTAACAGGAAACATATATTAAGATAGATTAGAGGTATTCTTACATAAAGAAGCGGTTTCTATTAACCATTTACTGCCTTCCATGGAACCATAAGGAATCTGAATGACTTTGTGTCGAGAGATATTATGTCCAATCGCCCGATACAAACACCCGAGCAATGCAGAAAGGCTTCCGATATATAATAAATGGTAGAATTAATGTGATGGTGGGTTCACATGTGACAGATCTGCCCTAATCGGTTTCAGTTAATAAATTGAATAACTGCGTGTTCCGTGCCCGCTCTGATTTTCCCTGTCCTGACTAATGTTTCCACCTTGGCTCTCAGATTGCGGATCTCGTTGCTGTTTGTTTTAGTTTATTCTAAGCTTCACTCTCACTTTCCGTCTGTCTTTGTGAGGCCATCTTTGCCCTTGGCTGAGACCCTGTGAGCTCAGAAAGTGGAGCGAGTAACACACGGCAGATAAAGTTACCTCCTCGGAGAGATCGCATTGCGTCTTTGTGCTCTGGATCCTGTTACCCCTTTACTTGTATTAACCTGCTGGACTCTGCCTCTCCTGTGTCGGCCTTATTGCCCCGTCACTGGGGAATGGTGCTCACAAGAACTGGTTAGATGAGAATTATATGAACCCTGTTATTCTTCCAGGAACTGGCAGAATGAATAGAAATTCTCTCTCCTTTTATAGCTATCTGCACACAGAGTCAGAAAGACATCACAGCAGGAGAGTCCTGCTCGGGTGAATGAAAAGACCTGACAATGCGTGACTCTGGCTTTCAATGGATTACAATAAACTGCATTCTATAATGTCAATCCCTGCGTGAAAAAAACGTTCCTCTCGCAGACAGAGAATACACTTGGCTGCAGATCTTTAAAAACACGATTCCATGAAATATGGATTTCATTTAAAAGCCCAAACTCTGTAACATATATAGGCCAAAAAATACAATACACGTGGGATTCAGCTAGTAAACAGGATTTTGAAGTTATATGTGCTCTAATGGACCTTCCCCGATGTTTTGGGGGGTTAATATCTCCCTCTTAGGTTCAGGTATATCACCCAATATCAGGAACCATGCAGGACTCCGACAGGTAGATAAGTTGAAAAGAGGTTTATTGGTAATATGTATAAAAAGGCAATATAAGAAAATCTGGTCTTACGCGTTTCGTCCTCTTATGGGACTTCCTCAGAGATCAATATTCAATAAAAACAATTATATCAATAATGCTCCCCAAAATGCAGCCTGTTTATTGATAAGTATATGTTTTTATTTTTCTTCTTTTGTTGTACTATATCTGTTACATACAAATAGTGTGTGAGCCAACGTTTCCTACTAATGTAATAATGGAATCATGTACCTTCCTGTCATCCCGTTAAATAAAGTGTATAAACCTGGTTTACCTTTCCTTGCTGGATTAAATAAATGGAATGTCCATCAGTTTGTGGTGTGATTAGAACTGCTTTGAACAATGAAAACTTTGATAATTTAACCCAAATTCATTTTTAAATAAAAGTTAATGTCTGTTGGACGTATTTTAACCACTTGTGTTCAGGTTTCACACTAATAACTCCAGATGTTTCAAACTTGCAGGAAACTGTGTATCGACTCACCACCAAAGGCCTAATCGAAGGCGTCATCTCCGGATACAATGCCACCGTATTCGCCTATGGTCCTACAGGTGAGAAGATAGGAAAATATATTATTACTCCTCTTCCGGCTCGCCTGGCCATTGGGGAAAATGGGCAAATGCTTTGTGTGCCATGATCATCTCAATGTGAGGCTGGCTATGGAGATCAGTGGTCCTGTCTGATCTTACTTCTATCTCTGGTGCTCACCAAGTCCCTAGGACATCCTGGTACAGCCTGAAGGGTTTTGTGTTAGAAGCAGGGACAGCCACTGATAGAGAGAGACCACCAGCCACTGTTAGAGAGAGGCCACCTCCCACTGTTGGAGAAAGACCACCAGCCACTGATAGAGAGAGACCACCAGCCGCTGTTAGACAGAGACCACCTATCTCCCCGGTCTCGGAATTTAATGAGAGTGTTCTGAATATTTTTAAAGCCTGGACATCGTACCGGGTGATATCAGTGATGTCAATGCAGAGAATGCTCCAGTTAGTGGCCCTGCCTTGTGGCAATGTGTGTCCCAGCAGAATGTAAAGCTGCACGGTAAGGTGGCCACAGTGGATTGGCAGAGAGGGTGGTGGCAGCAATAGATTGGCAGAGAGGGTGGTGGTGCACTGGATTGACAGAGAGGGTGGTGGTGCAGTGGATTGGCAGAGAGGGTGGCAGAGCAGTGGATTGGCAGAGAGGGTGGTGGCGCAGTGGATTGGCAGAGAAGGTGGTGGCAGCAATAGATTGGCAGAAAGGGTGGTGGTGCAGTGGATTGGCAGAGAGGGTGGTGGTAGCAATAGATTGGCAGAGAGAGTGGCTGCAGCAGTGGATTTGCAGAGAGGGTGGTGGCACAGTGGATTTGCAAAAAGAGTGGCGGCAGCAGTGGATTGGCAGAGAGGGTGGTGGCAGCAATGGATTGGCAAAGAGGGTGGTGGCGCAGTGGATTGGCACAGAGGGTGGTGGCCACTACAGCAGCCTCCTTTAATTGACCATGAGTGAGCCTTGATGATCTCTCAGCATTTTACTGCCCAGGAAATGGAAATGTATGTGTGACTGGCAAGAAGATATGAATGTCCAGAGTACGTACTGGTTAAATTTGAATTTAGAATTCAGTTTTAATTATTTATATTAAAGAAAAAAATGCAAAATTATCGGCAAGTTTGGATTGATTTTAAACTGGTTTAAATTGAGGGTCTCTGTATGATGTTTTCTCACCTTCTTGTCTTTTCGCAGGGTGCGGGAAGACGTACACCATGCTGGGAACAGACAGAGAGCCTGGAATATATATACGGACCCTTAATGACCTCTTCAAAGCCATTGAAGAGACAAGTGACGACATGGAGTATGAGGTTTCTATGTGTTATATGGAGGTAAGACCCGTGTGAGGTCAATATTTTAATTCGCCATGGCAACCCAAAACAAAATGGTCACCAAGCCTCATGGTCTCACCGGAGGTGGATCGGCTGCTGAGAAGAGGTGGTCTCAAACCTGGATTGCAGGTAAATAGCGGGTTATTTAATAACAGGGGGGCATGCTGAAATCTAAACAGCCCAACTAACACTAGGGTCCAACAATTACAGACTGCGCCCCCCTTACCCCACCATATTGTTTCTTTAAACTCCACTCAGGAAAAGAGAAGAAGAATGCTGTTGTAGAACAACGTGTACGATGCAGAATTTAGTCTTCGGTTTTCCAACTGTTTAAACCACAGACATAATCCGACAGGTTAAGTTTTATCTCAAAGGGACATGAAGAGGAAATGTGTGTCAACAAGCCTGTATCCGCCACACACTAGCAACAGAGAGTTTGCATGATGTCCACACACTGATAACACGATACAGCTTCTGGGTTTTATGAAAGAACATTGTGTGCACTCGGGATCAGATTAACTTGATAAACACAGATTTCCATAGTTTGTAAACCTCCTTACATCTCATCTGCTTGCTTTCCGCACAGAACCCTGATAGCGGTTATGACTTGTCTAGCGCCGTCCTTTGTGCAGAGAAGATAATTCCCATAGTGATGGATAAGAGGCTCCGGATGCAGTTTCCTTAAATGGATTTGGTGGCAACGGGCAGCTTTACGTTCTCTGCAATATTTACATAAAGTGACAGGTGGTGAAACCAGGTAGTCATACACAGAGCTGGGAACCGGGGAGAAATCAATGTCTGACAAAACAGGGGACACCATCACCACATTACTGGTCATATGGGATATGAAACGGTCCGAGTTAGTCTAGCACTGGATGTGGTATTAATTAAAATATGACATTACTGTGTAAATAAATGACGTGAACTTCCAAGGGATTATTTTTAAATTTTGTAAAGTTTGACAAAGTGACGTAATCAGCCGCCACGCTCCGACACAGCGCAGAAAGGACTTTTTTCCCTTTGCTGAGTCAGTTTTGTCTTCCTGCAGCTACGGGTACTTTGAACTTGAAGATATTTATTTTATTTAGAATGTTTGCATATTTTCTTTTTTTTTTTTATTCTTTATTTTTGATATGCAGGTAGTTACAACAGTGCCTGTATCGCCACAACGGCATCAGCAGGCTCAATTTTCATGCACATAATATAACAGTGTTGTGGCATGTTGGATTTGCATATAATTTTTTTTTTTTTTTTTATTCTTTATTTATGTTGACAAAGATAGCATATACAGCTCGAGAGCATTTCGTAGTTTGCAACAATTAACACATACATTGTATACAGGGTACGTCATATCTTCCAGAGCATAGGCATCCTGCCATCGGTGGGGTGGTTTGTTTTAGCCAGTCCGCTGCCACTGCTCTCCTGGCTGCTAAAGTTATGTTGTGTATAAGTTTTTGTTCGTGTCTAGTCCACCCATCTATCGTTCTGCTGAGTAAGTATACCCATGGGTCTAGGGGGGGAGCCCTGTTCAGCACCTGGGCTAGCAGATCTTTAATTTGTTGCCAAAAACTTGCTATCAGGGGGCATTCCCACCACATGTGAATATATGTCCCTTTAATTCCGCACCCTCTCCAACATACGTCAGTAGTGCTCTTTTTCATTTGATACAGTTTTACAGGAGTCGTGAACCAGCGGAGCATCGTCTTGATCGCTTGCTCCTGGAACGCTACGCAAACAGAGGATTTATGGTTGGCTTCCCAAATCTCCTGCCACTCTATCCCTTCCAGCTGCTCCCCTAGATCCCTCTCCCAATGTTCCGTGTACGCCAACTCTCCCCCTTCGTTAGTTACTGAGCAGAGGTGGGCGTACAGCTGAGTTATCAGGCCCCTAGGCATATGGTCCTGAATGCAAATTTGTTCGAAGAATGTCATGGGCTTTAGGGCCGCTGCTCGGACCCATGTCAGTTTTGCAAAATCTTTTATTTGTAGGTACCTGAAAAAGTCTGCGGGAGTGAGATGACCCCTTTGTTGTAAGGCGTCAAATGTCACTACCTCCGCATCCTGCACCAGCTGATGTATGCGCTGCAGACCTCTCTCTAGGTTCCTAAAGTTGCGCGCTGCCATGCCCGGAGGGAATGCTCTATTTCGTAGGTACGGCATCAGAGGTGATGGGGCCGATGCCAGCCCGTGTCGCTTTTGAGCTCTATCCCAAATATGTATAGAGTTTAGGATAGCTGGGCAAGTCGATCTAATGTCTTGGCGACATGAATGGGCAGAGACTGGAAATAAAATAATATCCTGGGTAGGATATTCATTTTGACCGCATGAATCCTCCCTATCCAGGAGATGGGTCTATCGGTCCAGGTCTCTAGTTCCCTGATAAGCTGTTTCAGAAGTGGCGTATAGTTCTGTGAATAAAGTTGGTCAGGGGCTGCTGTCAGTTTAATGCCTAGATATTTGATCGACTGGCGTTCAATACGGAGATGGTGTGCCCTTTGTATAGCTGTCAAGTCCCCTATCGGAATCTCTATGGGGAGGGCGCTGGATTTGGTCATGTTAGCTTTGTATCCTGAAACAGCTCCATATGCCTCCAGGACACCCTGCAAGGCCCTCATTGAGTTGACGGGATCAGTGAGCGACAGGAGCACATCATCTGCGTAGGCCGACGCCAGGAATTCCCTGCCTCCCACCCGAGCCCCCCATATGTCTGGGTGTCGTCTAAGGGCCTGGAGTAGGGGTTCCAGGGAAAGCACAAATAGGAGCGGGGAGAGTGGGCACCCCTGTCTGGTGCCATTGTATAATCTGAACGGTTGTAGTGGTTTGCATATTTTTAAGTGCATTATCTATATAACAAAAAATGGAGAACCTTGATCCAGTTTTACAAACTCTGGAAACCCGGAGGACGGGATCCTTGTCCTCTTCTTTTCTCCATGGAACCCTTACCCCCTCCTTTCTCTCCACCCCTCCCTCTCTTCCCTTTGATACTTGTGTTTAATAATGAAAATTAATTGGAGTTTTCACATTATTCTCCATGATTAGAGTTCCCCCTTTATGGCCTCTTTTCTGATACCTCCTGATTTAATTTATGTGACTTCCCTCTGTGTGTTTTTATTGTTTAGTGTGTGCTTTCTTTTCAGTGAAATTGTAAATAAATTAATAAAAGAATATGGAATATTGGCGATTTTCATTTTAAATAAAACTTTGTGTTGGATTCTGTTAGTGACAGAAGTGATCATATCTCTGACAATTAAATAACAATTTACCTGTCAATGCCAATCAGGGAACCCAACTGAAGACGCTGGTTCATCTCCCACTTCAAACTCATTATAACCCCCCAAGTTCCCCGTAGAGCAGCTTGTGTCAGCTTGTCACTCGTCTCTAACTGAATGCCAGTTAGGTTTCTACACTGACAGCTAGAATGTTTGATATAATGAGTAAGTCCACCATGCTAGACTACTTACTCTCACGTGGCCACTAGGGGGAATGTCAGCTCGGTTTAATAAAAACCTGTAGATATTTAATTGTAACCGAGGACGTTGACTTACGATATAGCGAGGAATTATTCACTAGCTGCTAAAGGATAGCTGGGGCCCTCAGGACACAATAAATTCAGTTTGCGCATTTGTGAGATGATTCCCTATTTATTTCGGGGGGTTCTGCTCAGAGAAGCTGGTTATTTTGTGATGAAGGTTGACTTGTCACCAATGCGTTGAGACATGGACAATGAACGTTATTACTATATCTGTAGTAATTATTTCTCCTTTTACTGCAATTGGTTCTCCCCAGCCTCTAGCAACATATAACGTAATGCCTTGTGTATTCCTGTTAGATCTACAATGAAATGATCCGAGATCTGCTAAATCCATCGCTGGGATTCCTGGACCTTCGGGAAGATTCCAAGGGAATAATACAAGTAGCCGGCATCACCGAGGTGTCAACAATCAATGCAAAAGAGGTGAATTGTGATGATAAAAATGATCTCCTATTTACTATTAGAAGAGAGAATTGATACACTCTAAATGTATCATTGTTTACCCGACAACTGATAAATAATATTAAAACTATTCAATAATTCCATTAAGTACAAAGAAATGTGTTGATTTTATTGATTTATATCGTTAAACTCCTTCAACTAGCTCCCAAAGCGCTCAGACAATATGCGGTTATCAGTATGTCTAACCCGCACATGGCTGCCTGGATGTTACATGCGTTTTATCTCTATGGGGCAAAATATTATAATAATCGTGTAAATTGGTGATTAGCTGCTCTCTATTATTACCACAAAAGTTTTAAAGATTTTTTTACAAACTCCCAGTGAATTTTTCACTGATAAACGGTGAATATTTTTTCGTTTCTTAGAAAAATATTCCAAGGTGCTTTGGTGGACCCCCAATAAGACAATAAGACTTAGAGCGTCTCTCTGCCTTTACCCTCAGATCATGCAGCTGCTAATGAAAGGGAACAAGCAAAGGACGCAGGAGCCCACCGCAGCCAATAAGACCTCCTCACGGTCGCACGCCATCTTACAGGTCACCGTTAGACAGAAGAGCCGTGTGAAGAACATTACACAGGAAGTCCGTGTTGGACGGCTCTTTATGATAGACTTGGCTGGATCTGAAAGGGCCTCTCAGGTACATGTAGGACTGATAACTTGAGGGTGCATTGGGCTGTCCTCCTTACATAGATCTCTATAGGTTATGTAGGATCCTGGTCATGACAAGCATCCAATAAGCCAACTGGGACAAAAAACTTGATCAAGATCCAGGGGTATTTACTTCGTGACAAGATAGGCCGTGTTCATTCAGTAACACCCTGTTATACAGCTCTGACGTTGACATTATTCAGCCATTCCAGATACTCAGTCGTACCCAGTCATGGATGGGGAGAGTGGGGCACCAGGGCAAATGCTCCCCCTGAGTGGCCAGAGGAATTTATGTCTGGCTTGTAGCAGGGGCTAATGAGGTGTCATCTTTACTAGGGTCCCAAATGCCTCCACTCAATAAGCTTGCTACATACATGGGAAAGGGACATTTAATAGATTAGTAAGGCAGGCGTGAGGGCATCAATGGACGTGTCATTTAGAAATGATGCATATTTGTAAGTTTGTGTATCTATTTTTGTGTGGATGTATGTGCCCACCCTTTAGAATCTGTAATATAATCTTGTAGTGTTCCTCCCAAATTTGGGCACTGGATCCCCCCCCCCACCACCACCCCGGTCATGCCAACCCCACACTCCTCAGAGCATGGCATGGCCACTGACTATAACCACAGAGTGTGTTCATGCTGCGCCAGCCCAGAGCACCAGGAGGAGACTGCTCTGTGTTTGTTCCAACCAAGGCCCTCGCTCTGAACCTGCTGTTTTATTTGAAACCTGATGCAAAGTTAAAGACAAGGGGTCTGGCTGGCAAGCTTCGATACTATGCAATGAAAGTACTGATGGTGTACTGGTGGGGTGATAGTGCCATCTAGTGGGATGTGAGTTTAACAAAGTCCTTGGTTGCTTATTACAACACACACTGTTTTATCGTTTTATCTGTGTCTGAAATATCCTAAATCTGACTTTCTACACTCTTGAAATTAAAAAAGATAAATAATTAAAAATTACAGTAGTCATAAAACCCTAGACAAATTCATTATTCCAGAGAAAGGTGACCATTGTGTGCACTAAAAGGGCCCCTTTAGTTCAGATTTGGACTAGTTCCGAGGTGACTGCGATTTTTGTTCAGCGAATGTGATTTCACTTTTAATGCCTCTTCTCCTCTGATAATTCTTGCAGACTCAGAATCGGGGTCAGCGGATGAAGGAAGGGGCCCACATTAACCGCTCTCTGCTGGCCCTCGGTAACTGCATCAACGCTCTGAGTGAACGAGGGGGTAACAAATATGTCAACTATCGAGACAGCAAACTGACCAGACTGTTAAAGGTACCATTAAAAATCGTAGCTTTACCCATTGCCATACTGATGGCGGGCACAAACCGTCACTATTCCAGCGCACATTCACTTCTGCATTAGCTGTCCAAAGCTGGGGGCTGGTTAGCCAACCAATGTTGGACAGACAACTGGAGAATTCCACATCACATTAGCCGAACCTCAGCAGAGGGGCTGTGATGTATGAACTAACAAAGCCCGACAGCTCAAAAACTGTTTGATACAGAGATGGGACCGACACCCAAACACTGCACCATAACCACTACAATGAGCCACAGTGGTTATGGTCCTTTTTTCACATGACATTTATTTGTGACTTGCTATTTTAATTAATTATTAAACGATAGATCTTACATTTTAAAATTTAATGAATCATTTTTTTGTTTCAATGTTAAAATCACTGCAAGCCGTCTTGGGGTTCTACCCAACATCCATTCTAGCTGTTATTGAAATTTGTGGCCTCTCTGTTATTAACGGATTTCCTTATAACCCAGAATCTATTCCCAAAAGAATCTCAGGAACTGACTTGGAAATTTCACGTCTTGAAATATTGCTCAGTGAAAAGACAGGTGGTAGATAAAAATAATAAAATATCATTAAAAATGGCAAAGTGTCTCTCTCCTCCCCCCATTCCTGAATAATCACTGCGCATGTCAAGCAGTCAGGTTGGGGCAGGGCTTAATAAGCAACTTTCATATTGCAGGTTACAACAAGCCCATAACTATGTAGACATGGGGGAATCTTCATATATAAAAATAAAATACCTGTAAAATAACTAATTTAACATTTAGTTACCATCGCTCTCTACGTAACAATGAGAAATGATTGGCTGAAATATCTGAGCCCGTTCCATTCTCTCCAATCCTACAGTGTGAATATATCCAGCTGGACACATCGGAGTTTCTTTATTTAAATTTAAAAAAAAATGTAAACTTTTTTAAAACAATTATTTTAAAACTTGCACCTGGATTTATTTTCTAGATTTTTATATTTATTGTCTGTTGACATAAAACAAAAAATGAGAACCCAAACTGTTTTTTCTTAGAAATGGATGAAGTTCGATGTGTCTATAACCTCAGAGTTGGTTATTATCTTCTTATTATGCTGATGTTTCACTGTCTTCACACTCAGCTGTTCTGCTTCCATTCTCAGGACTCATTGGGCGGTAATAGTCGAACAGTAATGATTGCTCACATCAGTCCAGCCAGCAGTGCCTTCGAGGAGTCTCGGAACACACTCTCCTACGCCGATCGTGCCAAAAACATCAAGACACGGGTATATATATGAACCCACTCCGGCCTGCAACGCAACCAGTGTATACACCAAGAACGCAATAACACAACCAGTGCACACACCAAGAACGCAATAACACAACCAGTGTATACACTAAGAACGCAATAACACAACCAGTGTATACACTAAGAACGCAATAACACAACCAGTGTATACACTAAGAACGCAGTAACACAACCAGTGCACACACTAAGAACGCAATAACACAACCAGTGTATACACTAAGAACGCAGTAACACAACCAGTGCACACACTAAGAACGCAATAACACAACCAGTGTATACACTAAGAACACAGTAACACAACCAGTGTATACACTAAGAACGCAATAACACAACCAGTGTATACACTAAGAACGCAATAACACAACCAGTGTATACACTAAGAACACAGTAACACAACCAGTGCACACACTAAGAACGCAATAACACAACCAGTGTATACACTAAGAACGCAATAACACAACCAGTGTATACACTAAGAACGCAATAACACAACCAGTGTATACACTAAGAACGCAATAACACAACCAGTGTATACACTAAGAACGCAATAACACAACCAGTGTATACACTAAGAACACAATAACACAACCAGTGTATACACTAAGAACGCAATAACACAACCAGTGTATACACTAAGAACACAGTAACACAACCAGTGTATACACTAAGAACACAATAACACAACCAGTGTATACACTAAGAACGCAATAACACAACCAGTGTATACACTAAGAACGCAGTAACACAACCAGTGTATACACTAAGAACACAATAACACAACCAGTGTATACACTAAGAACGCAATAACACAACCAGTGTATACACTAAGAACACAGTAACACAACCAGTGTACACACTACACTAAGCAACACACTAAGAACACAATAACACAACCAGTGTATACACTAAGAACACAATAACACAACCAGTGTATACACTAAGAACGCAGTAACACAACCAGTGTATACACTAAGAACACAATAACACAACCAGTGTATACACTAAGAACACAATAACACAACCAGTGTATACACTAAGAACACAGTAACACAACCAGTGTATACACTAAGAACGCAATAACACAACCAGTGTATACACTAAGAACGCAGTAACACAACCAGTGCACACACTAAAGAACGCAATAACACAACCAGTGCACACACTAAGAACGCAATAACACAACCAGTGTATACACTAAGAACGCAATAACACAACCAGTGTATACACTAAGAACGCAATAACACAACCAGTGTATACACTAAGAACGCAGTAACACAACCAGTGTATACACTAAGAACGCAGTAACACAACCAGTGTATACACTAAGAACACAATAACACAACCAGTGTATACACTAAGAACACAATAACACAACCAGTGTATACACTAAGAACACAGTAACACAACCAGTGTATACACTAAGAACGCAGTAACACAACCAGTGTATACACTAAGAACACAGTAACACAACCAGTGTATACACTAAGAACACAATAACACAACCAGTGTATACACTAAGAACGCAATAACACAACCAGTGTATACACTAAGAACACAGTAACACAACCAGTGTATACACTAAGAACACAATAACACAACCAGTGTACACTAAGAACACAGTAACACAACCAGTGTATACACTAAGAACGCAATAACACAACCAGTGTATACACTAAGAACGCAATAACACAACCAGTGTATACACTAAGAACGCAATAACACAACCAGTGTATACACTAAGAACGCAATAACACAACCAGTGTATACACTAAGAACGCAATAACACAACCAGTGTATACACTAAGAACGCAATAACACAACCAGTGTATACACTAAGAACGCAATAACACAACCAGTGTATACACTAAGAACGCAATAACACAACCAGTGTATACACTAAGAACGCAGTAACACAACCAGTGTATACACTAAGAACGCAATAACACAACCAGTGTATACACTAAGAACACAGTAACACAACCAGTGTATACACTAAGAAAGCAATAACACAACCAGTGTATACACTAAGAACACAGTAACACAACCAAAGTGTATACACTAAGAACGCAATAACACAACCAGTGTATACACTAAGAACGCAATAACACAACCAGTGCACACACTAAGAACGCAATAACACAACCAGTGTATACACTAAGAACGCAGTAACACAACCAGTGTATACACTAAGAACGCAGTAACACAACCAGTGTATACACTAAGAACGCAATAACACAACCAGTGTATACACTAAGAACACAATAACACAACCAGTGTATACACTAAGAAAACAATAACACAACCAGTGTATACACTAAGAACACAATAACACAACCAGTGTATACACTAAGAACACAATAACACAACCAGTGTATACACTAAGAACGCAATAACACAACCAGTGTACACTAAGAACGCAATAACACAACCAGTGTATACACTAAGAACACAGTAACACAACCAGTGTATACACTAAGAACACAATAACACAACCAGTGTATACACTAAGAACGCAAAAACACAACCAGTGTATACACTAAGAACGCAAAAACACAACCAGTGTATACACTAAGAACACAATAACACAACCAGTGTATACACTAAGAACGCAATAACACAACCAGTGTATACACTAAGAACACAGTAACACAACCAGTGTATACACTAAGAACGCAATAACACAACCAGTGTATACACTAAGAACACAATAACACAACCAGTGTATACACTAAGAACGCAGTAACACAACCAATGGATACACTAAGGACATAATAATACAAACAATATATATGCTAAGGACACAACTATAATGACCTCATTGTTAAAATTGCTTGCAAGCAACTGGCAGGTAATGAGCTACACTTACATAAACACAAAGTGTCCCAGTCTTCTAATGCTCCAGCAGTCGGCATGTAATGAGAACCATGCCGGTGGCAATCTTGTAGATTATGGACAATAGAATAGACCATTACATTTGAGGGGATCTGTGCCACTAACCCACCTCCACAAAGTTTTACGAAGGGTGAATCCCTCCAGTGTCCTATGTCCATGAACACCCTCAAACAAGTGCCGAACACAATTAGTATACACATGACATGGCTCAGTACATCATGATACCTTCTGTATATTTAATATGAATCTGTAAAGCTATCTCCTGAAACATTGTGCCACCATGTTTAGAGCCAGAGTGTGAGCAGAATGCAAGCTATATACCTGCAGCAGGACACAACCAATGCGTTTATTCCATTACAAACAGGAGCAAATTAGTCAATGTTTCAGACCTCCCCAGGTCCTTTCTAAAATGTATGTATCTTGTCCCAAACATGCACTGCCAGCATAATGTGTATATTTAACGTCTCTGTGCAGACATGGTTACCCTCTGTTTGGGAGGCTTTGCATGTAGTGTTTCATGGAATGTCTTAATGTAAACGTATGTTACTGTCAACCTCCACCTCTCACATTAATGTGACTTTCTAGGTCAAGAGGAACCTTCTCAACGTCTCTTACCACATCGCCCAGTACACGAGCATCATAGCTGACCTGCGGAATGAGATCCACAGGCTCAAGGAGAAGATTGATGAGCAAGGCTTAATGCAGATGAGGACCGAGAAGAGTGACATTCGCAACATCCAAGGTAACCCTGACCTGTCAGGAATATATATTGTAAATCTGTTCTAAGTTCCCGAGTCCTGCTTAATTAGTTGTAGGTTTTATAAACTCGATCTTTTGAATACTCCTATTACATTCTATTGATGGATACTGTGGTTAGAATGTGCTAATGAAATAGCTCATTTGGTTAACATCAAATATATAACGTGATATTGGCAGGGCCAACTCAACCTTCCATCCTTCTTAGGTGGAAGAAACTAGCACTATCGAGCTGGGTAATAGCAGCAGCATCTATTATTCCACTGCTTCGATTGTTAGAGTCCTAAGCTCCAGTTGGAGACCAACGTTCTGTATGAGAAGAAGATTATCATTAACATTTGTTTATCTGTAAATGAGTGGTGGGTGAGTAAGGAAGAGTCTCTGATGTATGTATGCACAGGGGATCTATATTATTTTATGTTCTAGGAGTATATTTATAGCGTTGTGGAGATTTGATTCCATTGTACACATGTAAGGGTGGCTGGACTATATCGGGAGGGGGCGGACTCAATCCATCACTGTCAGGAACAAATGTCCTACACTTTATTGCTTTTTTCCCCAGTCACAACCTCGATTTCACTCTCAACAATGTTCTCTATCTGCTCCAGTTACTGTAGTAAATCCCCATCTCGTATCCAATCAATCCGTTCTCTTTGTATTTTTTTGAAGACTCCTGAAAACCCTCCTATTGACAAATGCTTTCCTCATTGTTTTTCTCTTCAGTCCCACTAAGCTTTTATTTAACTTTATTTTATTACCAGTGTACTCATCGTGAGGACATCTTATTGAGAATATTAACATCTCCTGCTTTCAGCTTACTCTGTTGTTAATTTGCAAATATTTACATTTTACACGTTTTGTGGCCATACGTGGTGGTAACCTGACTTTTTTTGATTTTTTTTTAAACTTCCATTCCTATTTCTGTCTTAAAAGTGCATGATCTTACTAACACCCCTGTATTTGTTTGACCATCCAGCTGAGGTCCAGCTCCACACCTTACCTTATGACAGATATGAGATGGATCAGCTGAGGGAGCAACTTATTAGAGCATTCCGGGAGCAAATGGATATCCGGAGACAGCTAATGGAGTTAGAGAGTAATCACATGGAAATTCAGATGGAAACGTCACGTCACTTCCTCATTATTGCCGAGTAGGTGGAGTGATTGATAACCCAACATCTACTCCTTCTGAAGGCCGACCTAGATCTTCACTTATTGACATACACTCTGATTCCAGCTTGTTTGTTTAGACACGGTTACATGTTGAACCTATATGGCAATGGGTCTGATGCAGTTACGGATATACACTCCATGTGGTGGGGACCCACCGAAGGGCAGGCTATTTCAGCTGCTGCCCATTCTTGCGCCCTGTTTTTTGCTCTCCACATGTTTAAAGGGTAATCCAGACGTGGACCCCTTGCTCACGGTGCCTAGGGAGATATCAGCTATGCCTCACTGATGATTCCTAACAAGGCTGAAACGATCGTCTGGGGTTGCTGTGTCTCTCGTGCAGAGGGACTTGCTGGCATTTCAGATCTGGACTGCCCATATGGGTGGGACCAGTCTGAAATGTTTCAAAGATGTTCTCTCTGTAATGGGACAAGATGAGCTAAAACCAGCTTGAGAACTGAGCGGGGACCCATCGAAAGGGCAGGCTATTTCAGCTGCTGCCCGTTCTCAGTATTCTCTTGCGCCCTTTTTTCTGCTCTACACTCCAAGTGTGCTCAGTATTGCTATATATTAGTCTTGGGGTCAGAACGTCTACAGCAAACCCACAATGAGCAATATAGAGAACCCTGCTCACTATAAACAATTACAATTATGTATATACCACTAACATATTTCACAGCACCGTACAATAGGTCATCAAGGCAAACAGTTCTAAAACATTTTTGACATACAGGAACAGTGGGTGAAGAGCGCCTTGTTCAAACAAGCTTACAATCTAAAAGGATGAGGGACAAATATGGAGTTAATGAGGGATTTAAATCACCCAGATATACAGGAGGGTAAGTGTAACAGAGCTCCAGTACTCCAACCGACCTCTTAGTTATCAGGGACCTTGGAGCACTTCATATTCACTCACCGTGGCTTGTCTGGGATCACTGAGGGCCTTTTCCACCCTGGACCAGGCTAATGTGATTGCAGCCCTGGACACCTTTCCATCAGCAGATTTTATCCCTTTCCCCAAATGCCAGACGAAACATGGTTCTGGGAGTCAACTGACTTTACTAGACATAGCACACATATTTTAAGCCCCCAACAGCCTCATTTACATACAATAGGGCGCATAGAGCACTATAGTACAAGGAAGGCTGGGGTCAGACAATAGCAAGGGCTGATGGGAGATTGAGGACTGACAAAGTAGCTAATTTAAACTCATCTTGTCCCTGGGACAACGCCCTGCTGGGGAAACAATAGGACAGGAAAAAGGGGGAGGGGGAGAGGCACAGACTAGCAGTAAATTCAACATACCCGGCACCAATATTGGGCACAGGGTGACCAAAACACAAGAGGAATCTGGGGACCCACGAACGGGGTGTGTACGGACAGCCGAACAAAATGAAATAAAAGTGTAGCTAGAGCATCCATTCCACTACAGTAAGTGTTTGGGAGGAGGGAGGACAGTAGGTTGTAAGGGGTGAGAAGTTAAGGGGCAAGTTGATGGACTTCAATAAAGAAGTGTATTACAAGGGTGCAGCCCTGGAGATATCCTGCAGACGAGAGTCTAAAAGTTCTGAAATAAAACCATAACAAAATGCACTTAATATACTACACTACATATGTTTTATTGTTCTTGTTATAGCATGTGATTGGATTGGTAATGTCTGTGTGTTATTATATGTACCGGTCTGTGAATATACTCCTGTGTTATACTTGTAGTTGGGAACAGGAGAAAAATCGTCGTATCCGTAAGTGGAGAGATGAACTCAGGAGAGAAAGCTATGTAAAGGAGGACAGTGAGAAAGACTCGGACACCGGCGATGATCAGTCAGACATCGTGGAACCTCCAGAGGTGACATTGGCTCGAGAGAACATCTATGCACTGGTGGGAGATCAGAGCAGACTGCGCCGGCAAAAGGTGATTATCAAAGTATAAAGCACTGCGCTGTAAAGCAAGTTCAGGCAAATATTATCTTTCCATCTGTTTGTTTACTACACCAATAATGTTTGCCAAAGTTACAAGATCTGCACTTCACCGGTGTGAAGACTGATTATGACAGAGATGTACTAATGTTTGTCAGTGATATCCATGTGTTACTCTAGTCAGTCTCAAAAATGAAATCTGAGTTCCATCATTCATATATTTTAGTTAGAATATATGGACATTAACAGCACCGTTTTTTCCATTGTTTTTCAAATTTGAATGTTTTACATGGAATTTAAGACTCTACTACGAA